GGGTGGAAAGAGGGCCGGAAATCAATAACCCTATAGGGGGTGGAAGGGTGGGGCCCCTCTAGGCCCAGACCCTTTGCCCCTTCTTCTGCCCCACAACCCCTTGTTTTCGCCTCCTTTGCCGCCATTTTCTTGCCCATTTTTCTCATTTTCCCCCATCATGCTATTGCAGGGTCTCTATTTCCCCATCCAGTCTTGATAAAAAGCATATTCTTTGCTCGAGCTTTTCACCTACTACTTAATTTTTTAAAATAACTTTGATCCGTTTTTTCTTGTGATTTTGGCTTCTGTACCTTCCAGAATTTAAAGTCCAGTTGTTTTCAATTAACCCTTACTCTCTAGAAACTCTAGGAAACTCTAGGAAGTCTAAAAACTCTAGAAAATTACTCCTTCTCTTACAATTTGATCATTTTGAGATATTTCTTGTAATCGCACGCTTCGTGGCGCACTGTACAGCTAAACTAGACTTTTTACGTTCAACCATTAACTCTTTTCACTAAATCTCGTTGTTTGTCATCTTCATGCTTTCCACAATTCCCAATTTTTTTTCATCAATTTCTCACCATTTGAAAAAGAACTTGACAGCTTTGTGATGGCAAAAAGGGGGTTTTCTGAGGGATTTGCTGAGAATTTTAGCACTTTCACCTTGGGAAATTCCCCGGACAAAAGCGAGAAATGATTACGAGTTTTTCTTTTTGTGATCACCGGAACTTGCTGATTTGCTGATTTTCTTTTTTTTTTTTAAATTTTTAAGATTTGTAATCATTCTCAAGAGAACTCTTCTATTTATTCTATTTTTATTTTCTAATTCATTTCTCAAGACTTTTTGGTCAGAATTTCATGCAAATTACGATATTCCACTTTTTTTTTTGCTCAATTCAACAATTTCTAATCGTAATTTTGTTCGAAATTTTGAGGAAACAACAACAATTCTTTTCAATTTTCATTTTCAGATCATCAAAACGGGGCAAAAAGAACAAAAAAACAGCTTTTTGATTGATTTTCTTTTGTGTGACATGCACAATTGATCGATTGACATCTTCGCGAATCGAGGAATGGTGGTGATGGCTCAACGTGAGTCTTTTCAAAGTTTTCGATGCCGACAGTGGCGCACAAATCACCATTTTACGGTTCAGTCTATCTAAATCTCGTTTTCCTCAGAAAGAGTTGCGTTTCCGTAGCAAATCACTGTACTAATTGACAGCAAATTTTTATATTCTTACAATTAGTTAAGAGCTGAAAACAATCTCGCACACCTTTTTACTTAATAAATAGCTCATAAACACAAAAACTGATTTAAGCCTCATCTTTTCGACTTTACAGATCAAATCTTAATTTGATAATTTGATTCTATCAAAAGTTAAGCCGAATAGCCAACTTTCTCTTTGAGATTTGAGTAGATTTCGGTTAAGTAAGGCTTTCACCTAACCTTCATTTTCTAATTGATTAAATCTGAAGCTAATGAAATACGGTTCTCTTCATTAGATAGCCCAATCATTTCTCTTGTAAATCGCTTTTCAAAGTTTCTGAAAACCTTTATTTTAAAAGTTTTTCATTAGCAAGAAGCGGAGAGTTCAAAAAAGTTAAGTACATTTGGCAAAAATACAGTTGAAAAGGTAAAACAGGATAGTTTCTACATGAATGCAAACTAAGTGAAGAACTGAGATCAACTTAAAATTCTTGAAAACTTCCAAGTTAAGTTCCGTAAGGCTAACTCTGGGTCTATGTTATGGTCAACCGCCATAGCATGCGCAAACTACAGGGTGAAGCATATATAGTGTTGCGCTTTACAAAAGAATGCTTTTCAAAAGAGTTGACAGTTTTTCGCTTAAGTATTTCAAATCTACGAACATTTTTTCACTAGATTCATGAGTTTGTGTAAGAATTTAAAACTTCATTCGTTTCATAGAAGACTTTAAACGTGAGTGCTGCCCATTGCTGCCCTGATTGTTGCCCGAAAACAGAAATTTGTCAGAATTTTTCATTTCTGTTAGTTATCGGACATTTGATACGCGGCTCCCCCCGTTTTCCATCGGCAATCTAACTTTAAGCTCAAATTTCTTGGTGTTAAGCTGTCCAATTTCAATATTCTTGGTATTATCGGATGCGCCAAGTCTTTCTCTATCGATTGATTCAAAAACTATCTAAATTGAACAGTCCAACACCGAGATATTTGAGTTCAAAGTGGATTGCTAGTGGGAAAAGGGGCGGGGTTTTGGGACCTTTTATACGCGCCCCGCCGCTTTGCCATCAGCAATCCAACTTTGAGCTCAAATTTCTTGGTGTTAAGCTGTCCAATTTCAATATTTTTGGTATTATCGGATGCGCCAAGTCTTTTTCTATCGATTGATATAAAAACTATTTAAATTGAACAGCCCAGCAAAAGAAAATTGAGCTCAAAGTTGGATTGCTAATGGCAAAGGGGACTGGATGCGTATAAAAGATCGCCATCGGTTTTTCTGCTTAAGTTAATGTATTTTCTTAGAAAGCCAAAAAGATCCATTAAGCGCAAGACTAATGACAACACACTCTTTACGATAAGTGCAAAAATCTCGCTGGTAAACGCCCAATAACACTCCAAAAACGGTTGCAAGGAAAAAAAGAGAAGAAAGATCTTGTTTACCGAATTCAAATGCGTAAATAGCGGGATAGTGATTGAAAAGGGGAAATGGGATTGGCAATGAAAAAGATGAACACGCAGGGAGGGGAGGGGTCACGTTTTCACAATCACCCCTTTTCTGCAAGTTTTGAGCTGTGCCTGCCCTTTCTCCCACTGCCCCCAATCTCAGTCTCAGTCTCAGTCTCAGTGTCAGTCTCAGTCGCACTCCATATTCATCTCTTCCCACCATCTCTTTCTCCTCCCTTTTTCTCAATCCAATTCCACTTTCTCTCCATTGACTGTTTGCCTATTGATTCATCTGTCCGATTTGGGTTTTCCCCGAGAGGATTTCTCCCCTAAAAGTCATAAAATTCTTGTCTTTCTTCGGTATTCATGGTGCGCGGCAGTTGGACCGACTTTTTACAACCAAAAAGTCATAAGAGTAGGTTTTTTGTTTGAATAGGTAAATTATAGGTGAATTGGTGAATGTCTAAAATTAGATTGGTGAAGTCTAAAAGGTTTTACTTTTCTTTAAACTAGAAAAAAATCCATTTCAAAAGAGATAAATAGGATTTGAAATTGGCTTTTCAAAATAATCTACTTTTTTAAGCTTTTTTAAGCTTTTAAGCTAGAATTCAACTTTTAACCCAAAATAAAAAATATTAAACAATTTTTTTTCGGCTTATCATTTCCTTGATTTGTCTAAAATTGTCGATTTGTCGTTTTTGCGAGTAATTAACAGTCTAAAAATGATTAATGTGAAGTTGCAGCAAGCAGCAAGCAACTGCAACTGTGAAATTGCTTGCTGATTTGCTGATTTTTCTCAGATTTGCTGATTTCTGCAAGTTTTCCTCTCAAATCAAAAGTTTGAAAGCTTTCGTTTAAAGCCCAACTCCTAGAATCCGACAAAACGGGTATTCATTTGATATTTTGGCGCAATCATATTTTTCTGTTTCCCCAGACCACGAGGGGTGATGTGAACAAAAAAAAAATTGAAATCTCCGAGATTCCCGAATTTTTTTTGCCTTTCCCTGTCTCCTTTCCCGATAATCACCCCCTGATTCATGGCCTGTCGACGAATCGATCATTTTAGATCTCACAAAATATTGATATTCTCTAAAATTTAACTTTTACCTTGTAAATGAGCCAAAGTATCACGCCAGAAAGCGATCTTTCTTTCAAAGAGACGCTAGCTGGGCTGAAGTTGATGAAAGACGGTGAGCTGGATTCGATAAAAGATTTGAAATTAAAATAGCTTAATCTTAATTGCTTAATTGCTTTTCTAAATAGAAAACTTTTAACTATGGATATCAGGCTATCATTTTACCATCTTATTGCTCAAAATTGTTGAAAATGAAATTTTCAAGATTTTCAAGCTTTGAAGCTTGGAAGATTTTGCTATTTTTACTTAAAGATTTTGTAAAATCTAATACGGTTCCTATTTTGATCTAAAAGGTTCCAATCAGGTTCCAATACGGTTCCCATACGGTTTCAATATGGTTCCAATACGGTTCCAACACGGTTCCAATCAGGTTCCAATCAGATTCCAATACGGTTCCAATCAGGTTTCAATCAGGTTCCAATACGATTACAATACGGTTCCAATACGGTTCCAATCCGGTTCCAATACAATTCCAATACGGTTCCAATACGGTTCCAATACGGTTCCAATACGATTCCAATCAGGTTCCAATACGGTTCCAATACGGCTCCAATCCGGTTCCAATCAGGTTCCAATACGATTACAATACGGTTCCAATCAGGTTCCAATACGGTTCCAATACGGCTCCAATCCGGTTCCAATCAGGTTCCAATACGATTACAATACGGTTCCAATATGGTTCCAATCCGGTTCCAATACAATTCCAATACGGTTCCAATACGGTTACTTCAAAATCGGTTTTACTTCAAAATCTTCAATTATGGATGTCAGGCTAGATTTTACGTACTTTAAAGTTAACAAAACGAGACCTTTGCACTGATCACATTGAATTTACATTTTCTACTCGAAAATCTTTAATCATGGATGTCAGGATAGAATTTTAGCATTAAATCATCCGCAAATTCCCCTTCAATTCTTCCATTGCTTTCCATTGGAATAATAAACAGCTTTTTAAAGAGGCGCACTGAGAAAAACATTGATTTCTTTTTTTTTGTCATCGAAATTGATTTCATTTGCCCCTTTTTCCCCCAAGAAATGGTCCGTTTATGTTGTTTTTTGAAAAGTCGAAGGAAATCATTGGAGAATGCTAATGAAGAAATTGATCGAGAGAGTTTTCATCTAATCCCTTGTGATTTCTCTTTTCAATCCTCTCAATCTCACTATAGTTCTGAGGAAAGCGAATTTGGTAAAAAAAAAATGAATTTCATTGAAATAGAGTTATTGATATTTTCCGTTTCAGCAATGAACAACGCTTCAACGAAATTCTCCGATAACTATGATGTCAAAGAAGAACTTGGAAAGTGAGTCTCAGATAGCACTAGAGAATTGAGTAGATAAGCTGAAGGTTTTCCTTTAAATTGTTGCGTAATTGAACCAAAAGCAAACTTTGGGATGTTATAAACAAGTTTTCTTGTACTTCTGTGATTTAGAAATACTTCTGTGTATGCCAGATCACTCATTCACTCAGCACAATGACAGTTGACCTTAATTCTAGTAGAGAAAAATCGAGTAAACTAAACCAAAAGCCTCACTTGAACTCACTTAATCTTTTTAAAGTCATTACACTCTTTTCTACGCTCAATGCCCACCAGAACATATGTAGCTGGGGGTTTTGTGAGTGTTTTCGTCCAGTTTGTCCCTCTTTTCCCTGATCTCCAACCAGGCGAACTCATTGAAAATGCATTAATTTTCCCGTTGGTCCAGGTCCCAATTTTTCCTCTCTTTCTCTCTAGGAGAGACTCATTTTCCTTTTATTCAATTCAATGAAATGAGAAGTCAAATTTGTGGGAAGCCTGTATCGAAAGGAAAATTTGATTAATTCGCCGACATCGAGTTGAAATTGGTTATTTGGGAGAGGAAAATGAAAGAAATTCTTTCATATAACAATAAAATAGGTGACTTTTAGAGTTTATAGTTGTAGCTTTTACATGTTAACGTTATAAAATTCACTACCATAAATACTGTAATAGTACCCGACCCCCATAATGACGGTGGGGGAGTGTTGCGTAGTCTAGCTTTGAACGAGTTTTTCTCAACACTGGTTTATGCTACAATGTTCGTTTAGTTATCAAAAAATAGCTGAAATTCAGGGCTATTTTTTGATACCTAAACGAGCATTGTAGCATAAACGAATGTCGAGAAAAACGCGTTCAAAGCTAGACGACGCAACGCTCCGCACCGTCATTATGGGGATGGTACTGAAATCAAAAAATAGCCCTGAATTTCAGCTATTTTTTGATACCAAAGACGCATTTTTTGAAAGTACGGGCGCTTTGAAAAAGAATGAAATACTAAAAAACTTTTGCAACTACGCGACTATACGAGGCGGGTGGGGTACTATTACAGTATTTACGGTAGTTTACAATGAAGCCTAAGAGTAGATGAACACAGATTAACTGGCATAACTAGAAAATTCGAGAGTTATTGAAAAAAAGGCATCCAATTACCTTTTTCTCATAAAGCTTCTAGGATCTTTAAAGGTTAATGGCAGAGCCAGCTTTTTGCCCAACTTGCAGCTCATTTTTAAGCACCCTAAACTCGTCAGAACAGGAATTTTTAATAAGATTTATATAGCTTAGAACTTTAGCTTTTAGAAAATATTTGTTTTATCAAAAGTTATTAACATAAACTTATATAAAATTGGGCTGCAAGTTGGCCACAAAAATTGGCCTCCACCGATGATCACTACTCCCGCCGTTAACCGTAAAGCTCCCTCACCTATCTATCAATTTCTTTTCCTTAAGTTTCCTAGAGATTAAGTCACTTTTTGGTCACTTTTTTCACTAAAACTTCCTTTCCTGTCAACTGTCAACATCAAAAGTAACATAAATTAACATAAAATTTATGTTAAATAAACTTATATAAAATCGAGTTGCAAGTTAGTCAAAAACTTGGCCCCTGCCGATAATCGCTACCCCAAAGGTCCAGCTTATAAGTAAATCTATTGATTTCAGTTTAAGTTTTTTCTTAGAAAGCCAAAAAGATCCATTAAGCAAAACCCTATAAATGCCGCACCATGTATTAGCTTGGTAAATATGAAAGGTTATTTTTTACAAAAAATATTGCCCTGTCGTTACGAAGAACATTCCCTGTCTAGGATTTTTCTCAATAATATGTCAAAATGTGCTCATGTTTTTTTTGCAAAAACATTTTTGTTTTGAACAACATTTGTATTGTTTCAGCTCGGCAAAGATGGATAACCAAAAATTTAAAATCAGGGCCGCCATTTTCTTTGAATTCAAGTTAAACAAGAAAGCTACGGAATGCCATCAGAACATTTGTACTGTTTTTGGAGAAGCTACTCTTACTTACAAACAATGTTGTGTTTGGTACGGTCGCTTCAAAACGGGAAACGAGTCATTGGAAGACGCACCACATGGAAAGCCGCCGATTACTTTGGACGATCAGCTGTTACTGAACGAGGTCGACTTGGATCCATCGCAAAAGTGTAGAAAATTAGCAGAAAAGTTCGGATGCACTCATGTTACCATTTACACGTTCTTGGGAAATCATATCGAAGCGGGAAATGGCTCCCCCACGACCTCACTGATGCCCACAAAGTCACACGAGTCACCTTGAGCTCTGTTCTTCAACGTAAAGCTAGCCATCGTGACGTTTGGAAGTATTTTTTGACATCTGATGAGACTTGGCTTTCGTATGAAAATATTCAACTCTATGGACAGTGGCTGAGTTCGAAGCGGACCTCTCATTCTATCCCGAAGCCTCCGAAAAAGTTATGCTTTGTGTGTAGTGGAATGCTAAGGGATTGGCTCATTTGGAAATATTAGATAAAGGAGACACTGTTGACGGAAGACTTTATGCAGAACAAATGGGTCGAGTCGATCCAGCATTGAGGAAAAAGAGGATCGATCCATCGAAGGTCAGATTTCTTCACGACAATGCTAGGCCTCACATTTCAAAGATCGTCCACGAACAAATCGACAAGTTGAGCTGGAAACTTCTTCCACACCCACCATACAGCCCTGATCTAGCCCCATCGGATTACCATCTCTTTCGGTCAATGAAACAAGCAGTTTCTGGACAGCAGTTCAAACAAAAGCAGGACATAGAAAATTGGGTTGCCAACTATTTTGCCTCTAAAAATCTTTAATTTTACGAGGACGGTATTCGTGATTTGGGGCAACGTTGGAAAGAAGTTATTAATGCTTGTGGTGAATACATTTGATTTTGAAAGTGCTTAAATAAATTTTTCTGTTATGTTAAAAATGATCAAAAAAATAACCTTTCATATTTACCAAGCTAATAGAAGAAAAACTACCCCTTTTCAGCACTAATGAGGCCTTGAGAAGACCCATAAATAGAAAAATATCCAATTGAGGGTAAAAAGGAGTCACTTTTCTGGGAAAAGCTAGTCATTTTGAGGGTGCTAATTTTCGGGTAAAAAATTTGCATTCAACTTCAGGGCTTCAGTAACCAAATTCAGAAAAGTTAACAAAAAGCTTTAAAAAAACTATCAGAAACTATTGTGTGAGTTCCAGAATTGACAAAGAATCTAAAAAAATATGAGGATTTCAAGCAAAAAAAACCCATTTTCCAGAGGTGCTTTCTCGGTGGTGCGACGCTGTGTCCATAAAAGCACGTGTGCCGAGTTCGCCGCGAAAATCATCAACACGAAAAAGCTGAGTGCTCGTGATTTTCAGGTCAGCCAGGAGTTTTAACAAAATTTTTCTTTCAGTTTTGCCCTCTCCATGAAAATCGGGCTTAATTTACAAGAAATCCAGCTACAGAAGTTCAAGGTTTTAAGGAGAAAAACTAAAGCTTTTTTTTTTGGTTATTCTAAAGCTTTCTATCACTTCTGGAATCGAAATGAATCTAGAATCAAGAATCAATTTCAGAAATTGGAACGAGAGGCTCGGATCTGTCGTAAATTGCAACATCCGAACATTGTCCGCCTTCATGACAGCATTCAAGAGGAATCATATCACTATCTCGTTTTCGATCTGTGAGTTCAGTTTCGATATTTGATAAAATTAAGTTTCTTAAGTTTCTGAGTAAAGAAAACTCTTTAAAAGTTGGGAAATTGAGTTCTTCTGTCACTAGTCAGTTTTGCTCTTAACCATTGCAAATAAAGAAATCGCAAATTTTCGATTCTACTAGGTTGAGTACCCTTGATTCATTATCTTGATTATATCTTGATTCTATCTTGATTCTATCTAAATCCCATCATGAAACCTTGTCATTTTTGAACACTCCGCTTCTTGCTAATGAAAAAGCTTTAAAATAAAGCCTTTCAGAAACTTTGAAAAGTGATTTAGAAGAGAAATGATTGGGCTATCTAATGAAGAGAACCGTATTTCATTAGCTTCAGATTTATTCAATTAGAAAATGAAGTTTAGGTGAAAGCCCTTTTTTTGTTGAACTATAATTTGTGAATTAATCGAATTTTTGTGAAAAAGTTGAAGGTACACTACTGGACAATGAAATATCATATTTGAAAAAACACTTTCGCACTTTCGCGCATCTATAACTCCTTTGTCTTTACCGTATTTCTAAATATTAATATTACCATTGTGTAGCCCTTGAAAAGAGCTTTCAGAAAATGTATAACACTAATAGTTTAAACTCAAAGACAACGGAGTTACAGATGCGCGAAAGTGACGATCGTTTTTCAAATATGATATTTCATTGTCCAGTAGTGTATATCAAACGTCTCCAAGCTAAACCTTTCTTTTCAGCGTCACTGGCGGCGAATTATTCGAGGACATCGTCGCACGAGAGTTCTATTCTGAGGCAGACGCCAGGTTTGGCTTCATTTTCCCATTCAAATAAGAGTAAAACTAGATAAAGTAGAGTGAAAGCTATAGAATGAAAAAGCGTCTTTAACTTCTAGCGGTTGCATCGCTCAAATCTTGGAGGGTGTGGCCTATTGCCACCGTTTCGAAATCGTACACAGAGATATGAAAGTAAATGAGAAAAGAATGAGAGATCACGGAAATTCAATGTTCTTTTTTTTTGCACAAATCAGCCTTAACTCGAGCCAAATTTTCTTGTTTTAACTTTTTTGGGAGCTTTACTTTTGTTGATTCATGTGAAAATGGGGGATTTTGTGTTTCATTTTGATCAAATCACAAAAGAAAAAACAAAATTTCTTTAGAAAACAGAATCTTGACAAAAGAATACTTCGAAATAGTCTCGTGTGTTCCAGTTTAAACAAAAATCATATAATTTAAGATACTTGACAAAGGGATACTCGAAAATAGTCTAGTCTAATGCTTTCCAGATCAGATCATTCAAAAACAACAAAATTTCTTTAGAAAACAGAATCTTGACAAAAGAATACTCCGATATAGTCTCGTGCGTTCCAGTTTAAACAAAAATCATATAATTTAAGATAATTGACAAAGTGATACTCGAAAATAGTCTAGTCTAATGCTTTCCAGATCAGATCATTCAAAAACAACAAAAATTTCACAATTTAACCTACCACAACTTTTCCGTTGTCCTCGTTTCCATTCACCATAAAGCCGTTTTTATGTTTTTGATCGCTTTCCAGTCATTGCATCCAGCAAATTCTCGAATCGATCGCCTATTGTCATGCGAATTCGATCGTGCATCGTGATCTCAAGGTACGATTGGAGAAAAGAAACAAGAAAAAGAACAAAAAACAAAAAACTTTCCGCACTAATTCACCACAAAAAAAGTGTCCCGTTGATTTGCCGTTTTTAAATTTCAAAAATCACATATCATAACCAAAAGCTTTACGGGTTGCGGTGGATCGAATTTTTTGAGATTTTGAAAAATTTGAAATGTTTAGCCGGAGAATCTGTTGTTGGCGTCAAAGCAGAAAGGAGCCGCCGTGAAGCTCGCTGATTTTGGCTTAGCCATTGAAGTGAGTTTTGTATGAAAGATCGAATTGTGTTGTGGTTTATTTCGACAAACTTTGAGCAATCCTTCTAAAAAGTTATCATTTAAGCTCCAGGTGACCGCTGATCAAGAGGCTTGGTTTGGGTTTGCCGGCACTCCTGGATATCTCTCACCTGAAGTGCTCAAAAAGGATCCATATGGGAAACCGGTGGACATCTGGGCGTGTGGTAAGGGCGTGAAGATTGAGCTTAAGAAGTGAACTGTATTGTAGTTAAACTAGGCAGTTTTACAAGTGTACGACAGTACTGTAATAGACTTTGCAAGACTAGCTAGATCCAAACTATGCACGGCTATCAGTACTGGCCGTAATATTCCTGCTCATAAACTCCCACTGTACTCTACTTTAGTTCTGATTCAAATATTGTACAAGATGTTCAGTAGAGACTTTTTTTTGGTAGATTAGCTGCCAAGCGTCAAGTTCAACCCGAATGTGTTAAGTGTTATATAAAATATTAAAGCCCTTAATCTTGGCTACATTTATCTATTAAATGTTTCCAAAATGGAAGCATACAACACATTTTACAAGCCTTTAAATGACTCCTAGTTGATCCCCTTTCCAGCCATTTTTCGATTTTCATTCTAATAAATTGTCAGAAAAAGCTTTTTGATATAAAATTTAAATCTTTAAATCTTCCATAGGTGTGATCCTCTACATTTTGCTGGTCGGTTACCCGCCATTCTGGGACGAGGATCAGCACCGATTGTATGCACAGATCAAAGCTGGAGCCTATGATGTAAGTACTAAAGTTGAGTATTTGACAAAATAAAACTCTAGTATCCCTCTCCGGAATGGGACACGGTGAGACCGGAGGCAAAGCAGTTAATCGATCGGATGCTCACCGTCAATCCAAAGAAACGAATCACCGCCGAGGAGGCGTTGAAAGTCCCATGGATTTGCGTGAGTTCTTTGATGACAAGATGGAGTTTATATTCAATTCAATAAGTCCTAGAAAGATTCTGTATCTTGCTAATCACCTTTGAGGTCAAGAATCGAAAAACTTTAGCCCCTTAGCCTTCTGCTGAAAGCTTTGAGGCAAAAATTTCGTCTAGTAACTCTAGAATCTAGACTAGACTAACAGAACATTAGTTTCGCTGAATCTAGAAGGGAGCTCTTGTCGAAAAATTGGCATTTAGAATCGTGATCGCGTCGCTTCGGCAATGCATCGTCAAGACACGGTCGATTGCTTGAAGAAATTCAACGCTCGCCGTAAACTCAAGGTATTTTTCTCTTCAGCCATCGTTTTACTATCGTTCAAAAAAACCCTATAGTCTTTTTAAGTTGAAAGAAAATTACAGGGGAATTGACTCCCGCAAAAGCCTAGCTTTTAAATGCAAATTTGCATGTTTAAAGAAATTTTTTTTTTTTAATTTCTTGCTCCTCAAAATTTTCCCTTTTTTTCCATTCAGCGATGTCGTCTTTTAAGCATTTATTCTTTCTTTTTGGCTACATTTTTTTGACTTAACTTCTTGGCATGACGTTTTTCTCTTTTTCTCTCATTTTCTAGAATCTGGGGTTTAAATTTTTCAATTACTCGAGATTTGAAGGATTTTCGGGGATTTCTTGAGGGTTTTTCGAAATTTTTACACATTTTCGCCTAATCTGGAGCTCAGCCGAGCTGTTTTTCTCTTTCTTTCTCTTTCTTTCTCTTTCTCTTTCTCTCTCTCTCTCTCTTTCTCTCTCTCTTTCTCTCTCCTCTCTCTCTTTCTCTCTCTTTCTCTCTCTCTTCCTCTTTCTCTCTCTTTCTTTCTCTTTCTCTCTCTTTCTCTCTCTTTCTCTCTCTCTTCCTCTTTCTCTCTCTTTCTTTCTCTTTCTCTTTCTCTCTCTTTCTCTCTCTTTCTTTCTCTCTTTCTTTCTCTCTCTTTCTCTCCCTCTCTCTCCCTCTCTCCCTTTCTCTCTCTCTCTTTAAAACTCTAAAACTTCAAATTTCCCTCACTTTTTCTCCACCGACATTCCTATGTACACAGATTTTTGAATATTCATATATCTTTTTATATATTATATATATATCTGGCATGCCGGTGTTGTATCGTGGCCGGAGCATGCACTACCCTTCATATTCAATGTTTGCATAAAAAAAACCCCCCGCCGATTTTCAGAACAAGGGAAATTTCGAGAGATTTGTCGTGATTTTCTCTCTAAAATAGTTCAAAAATTTTCAGAAATAACGTAAAACTTCTAAAAACCCTGTCTCTATCCCCTATGTGCCTTCCAGAAAAAACGAATTTCGGAGGTTAAATGTTTAAAAATCATTTTCAATACTAAGCAAAAGCACGTCTACCTGAGAATTGAGATCAGTTGTGGTTTTGGATTGAAACAATTAAGTTATTTTAGTTAGGAATTGAAACTGATTTTGGTATCATAAGAGAGATATTGTTGGCTACAAAATGACCCAAAAAAATTCCTGGAAAACTAGAATCAAAGACCTCAACAGGGACTCGAACCAGGGTTGGTTTGAACGGGGCGCTAGATCCACTGCGCCACTTGTTAGTGCATTGGTAAAGTGCTCGATTCTCCTTAAAATGATTTTGATTCGACTTCGTGACATCCAGCTTGTCTTAAACTCTCAAAAAAATCAGCAATGCGTGTTTTGAAAAGCGATTTTAGCTAAGCTACAGCTATTTTAGATAGGTTACAGCTATTTTAGCTACAGCTACGTGTTTTTCTTGTTTGTTAACATGTGGGATGGTAGTCAGGGCAAGTACAGTAGCGTTTCAATCCAATCTCGCAACTGGTTTTACTCAAAATCTCAGGAAAAACTCAAGTAACTCCTTTTTCTCTCTATCCCTTTGTGACTGAAATGAAAAAAAAAAGAAAACTGTTTGATGAGCTGTGACATTTCGAGGCGGCCATTTCGGCAGTGCACATGGTGACAAGAATGGGCGGATTGCTGAGAACGTCGGATTCGACTGGGTCGATGGCTTCCTCGTCGGGATCCGGCCCTTCCCCGCAGGACACCGTTGTGATGACCGACGATGGTCAAGGCACATCCACGCAGACCCATCCTGAGGAGGTCAGATATTCAGCCAAAAACAAACCCCAGTGTTTTTTTTTCTAATCAAGCTCACTCTCACAACGATTTTCGTGCTTTTTGGTAGCTTTTCGAGTTGAAAGAAAATTCTTAGATGGTTCTTAGCGACAAGCTACTAAAAAGCATTGAATTCTTGAAGATTTAGTGATCCTGGAGCGCAGGGAATTGATTGGAAGCTTTAGATTTGAAAGGATTTAGAATTTAAAAGAGTTTATCTCTCAATTCTCTGCCCAGGAAAGCTTCTGTAATTCTACTAAAATGTCACAAGAACTCACAAAAGTGCACTCAATCTCTAAACATTCAAAAAAAACGAGTGAAAGGAGTTGAACCAGGGTTCTCTGCTTGACAAACAATCAGTTTACTGCGCCGCGCTTCCCTAGTAGCGCAGTTTACTGCCCCGCGCTTCCCAAGTAGCGCAGTTTACCCATTGCGCTATTTGGGGAGCGTTTTTGGTAAATCGCAGATAACTTTGTTCAACTCTGTGACATCCAGCTTTCACTAATCTTTCTCAAAAAAAATCCCCGCGCGTTTTCGCAACTCGATTTTCGATAGCTACACACATTTCAAATGATTCTCGCATGTTTCTTTCAAAATATTTCGCATATTTCGTCTATCTTTCAGTTCTAGTTTTCTCAAAAAAAGAAATTCTGTAACTTTGTCGTCAAAAAAACTCGTCAAAACCCTTCTTTCAAGTCCTCAAAAATTTCCGGCCTGTCCCGTTTTCAAATAGTTTCTCTTTGTGAATCTAATTTGTTTTTTTTGGCAAATGTACCGTACACTTGACGTATTTTAGTTTATTTTAGTCTTTTTTTTTAAGGAAAATAGTTGCACTTGCACTCTGAAATTTAGCTTTAAAAGCTTTAAAAGAGTTTACGAAAATTTTGAGAGAATTCATGCATTGAGATTTTCGTTTTCGACGTTTTTTACGGGACTATAAAAGTAATTTGAGAAATTAGAGCGCTTAAGTAAAGTTATCTATTAAAATTGAACCCAAAAAAACCTCCAAAAACCTCCAAAAACCTTTGTTTGATGCTTGTTAAACTTTTATCCTTTATTCTTGCTGTTTTTTCTAAACACAACGACTCTAGTGCACTGATAACTTGATTTTTACAAATCCTGGGACGCACATGAGGTTTAGACATGTTAATTGAGTACGGTTACGGTACGTTTTCTAAAAACAGACAACTTGATTACAGTAACATTCCCTCTAAAGGTGCTTTTTAGAAAACGTACTGTAACCGTACTCAATTAACATGTCTAAACCTCATGTGCGTCCCAGGATTTGTAAAAATCAAGTTATCAGTGCACTAGAGTCGTTGTGTTTAGAAAAAACAGCAAGAATAAAGGATAAAAGTTTAACAAGCATCAAACAAAGGTTTTTGGAGGTTTTTTGGGTTCAATTTTAATAGATAACCTTACTTAAAGGCTTACGGTAGTAGATAAAGCTCTAGAATAAAGCGCTAGAATTCTAAAAACTTGAAAAAAGCTAAAAATCTTGGCATTGGTAGTCAGAGTCAGTATCAAAGTCGATTTTTCGTAAACTCTTTCCACCGTTTTCCCCCACGAGTTTGGTTGTGTTTAGTGATGTCCAGGATCGTGTTTAGTGGGTGCATTGGAATGGCTTTGCCACATCTATCTATCTATGAAATCTATCCTTCTATCCTGTACCCCGAGAATTGTCCTTCTCTTCACCGCACACCCGGCCCATCCGATCCACTTCACAACTTGCCTGTTGTCTTGATTTTCGAAACCATTTCCCCGCTGCTCTCACTTTCTTTCGTTTATCAATCTCCCCAAAAAAAAGAATCTTCAGAAAATTTTACAAAAATCACAGAATTTTTCATCAGAATTTTTTTGCACAAAATTCCACGCTGCTTTCGAAAAAATAAAAACAAAGGTGTTGGACTAACAAAATCATTTATTTTTTTTATTTTATTTTTCGCTTTTTGGGATACTTGGATAATTTTCTCTTTTCACACAAAAAAACCCTTAGAGAGTTTGCAAAAAACTCTAGGTAGAATGGTGTTTTTTATGATTTGATAACAAAATGAGAAAAAGGAAATGGATAAGCTGTCGAAATTCTCATTTTACTCTTCAAATTGGAACACAGCATAACGAAATTTCAACTTTTTATACTTATAAGTTCATTTTTTAAAAAAAATATACTAAAGCTTGTCCATTTTCCCATTAAAACGTTGAGTGCTTTCCAAAACCCTTAAAATTTTCAGGGCGCCATCCTGACGACGATGATCGCCACGCGAAACTTGTCGAGTAAGTTATCAGCAGCAGCGGCAGCATCAGCGGCTGAAGGTGGGGAGTGAATGTAATGAAAAGAAAGGAGAAGGGATTGGAAACAAGAAAAACAAGCTACTTTTGTCTTAAAAACGAAAATTAGGACACTTTTTACTTGGTATTTGGTACTTGTGACCTAACTGTCCAGGGCCAGGTCAAGCTAGGGCCAGATCAAGCTAGGGCCAGGTCAAGCCATAGCCAGGTCAAGCCAGGGCCAGGTCAAGCCAGGGCCAGGTCAAGCCAGGGTGAGGTCAAACCAAGGCCAGGCCAAGCCAGGGTCAGGACAAGCCAGGGCCAAGTCAAGCCAGGACCAGGTCAAGCCAGGGACAGGTCAGGTCAGAGACCCAAAGTCGAATCCAGCGTCTGAAACTAGTTACAAGTCCTTGCTTGGCTGCCTGTCCTGGCGTGGCTACTGCTACTACTGGTTCAACTCCAGGCCTGGCTTGGTTCAGCTGGGTTTACTGCAACCCAAGTCCAGGTTTGACTAATTGGTGTCAAGTAAAAAGTAGCCAACTCTTTAATATTAAAATAGAATTCCAATCCCTTCACGCAAGAATGGCGCTGAAAAACTCTCTTTCCCAAAAAGAAAAACCGAAAAATTCTAACATTTCGCTAAATTGTCAATAATATTGAAAAGTGCTGCACGAAAAATGAACTGTTAACTTGAGAATTTTGTCTCTAATTTTAACTCGAGAGATTGTTCAGTTCCATTTTGTCTGTACAAACATCCACTCCCCATTTTTGATGAGTGTTGTGGTGTGGGGTATTGGTAAACAAAAACAGTTCGGAAATAGAAATCATTAGTGTTCTTAGTACTCTAAAATTGTAAAGAAATTGCAAAAAGGCTTTGCAGATGATGATTGCTTTTTCAAAATTGAATCTTATTCGAATCGAGGTCCAGCTTGGACTCCTTCAAAAGTCCAAGGTCTCCTTTGGGTCAGGACTCCTTCAAAATTCCTTCAAAACTTGGATTTGAGTTAAAAATCGGTTTTTGTTTAGTGTGCGTTTCAGGATTTGTAAAAATCAGTGCACTAGCGTCGTTGCGTTTATCAGTGCACTAGCGTCGTTGCGTTTATCAGTGCACTAGCGTCGTTGCGTTTAGAAAAAACATTGACGGTGGCTTTATTTGCCACCTAGATTTGCTAGATTATAATCTAGATTTGCTTAAAGATTAGTCTCAAATCTAATCTTTCCAAATTTTAGACTTGAGTCTAATCTTTCCACTATTTTCCATGTCATTCAATCCGCAAACCCATCCCAACTACAAAACGAGATTTTTGATTGTGTCGGTGTGTCTGCCCTTTCCCCATTTTTCTCTTTTCCCTCATTTCGATTTGTGCCAATATCTTCACTCGCACGGGTCTCAAGGATCACTTTTCTTGGTCAAAAGATGAAAGGAAATCGAGAGATGAAGAGATCTCGGCGAACCGATAGCAACTGTCCTCTGCAATCCAGCCCTCCTCTCCTCTCAGCACACCCCCACCACAAAATAATCGTGTCAGTTTCTTATTGACGATGAGCTGAGCATATTCAACTATTTTTTTTGAAAGATGTTCGGCTTCACAAAGAAGAACGAGAACTCAGTGAGCCGACGGGCAAGCGATCTTCAAACGGCAAGCGATCGATATCGAATTGCGGACACGCCTAGGCTAACCTCAGTCATGTCTGGATTAGCGGATTTGATGAGTGGAAGGAAAAGAAGCCCAAGTCTACCAAGAAACTCTAATTCTGACTCGAATTCGAATTTAACTAACAAGAGAAAACAATCTGCACCAGCTGCTGGTGCGAGAGATTTGGGAATGGCTTTTGTACCGTTTGTTGATGTTGCGATGGCACACGCAAGAGGACCCAAGAAACAAGAGAGTCAGGTGGAAACATTAAGATTTTTGGATCGAAAATCTCTTAGTCAGCTTCCCCATCCCCTGTGGCGGCTAAACGGTTAGCTGAGGCGGCGACAGCGTTGGCTGCTCAAGCGGCTAAAGCACGACCATTGACCGCACAAGTGGCACCGATTCGGGTTCAGTATTCGGATGAAGGTTGAGTTTTTCAGTTGATTTATGCGAGTTTTCCGTAGCTCGACAAGAGCAAATTTTCACTATTTTCCCATTTCCGATTTTACTTTGGAAGCTTGGCACTCGATTTTCTTGCTAATATTGACTTAAGAGCCTAATCACTTCTCACTATCTTCCATCCTGGATGTCATTCTTTAAGAATATCAATTTCCTTCTTGCAATTAGCTTTCTTTGTCTAGATCGCTCCATTTTGACATTGATTGGCTTTTTCTTCAAGACTCTGCACAATTCCGACTAATGAGGGGCTATGTGCCATCTTTGAAAAAAAGAAGAGAAAAGGGAATCCTTTCAAAAAAAAAAAAGCAGCATCGCCTTTTCTAAAAGAAAGTAGCCAAGAAGAGCTATGGATTGTGGGAGATCGGGATAATTCTATTCATTTGCCCTCCCTTTTCTGCTATCCAAATCCCCACATCTGCCTTTGTATGGGCATGAAATGGATTTCCTAGATTTCATCGAAAGTTTTCAAGCTTAAACAAAAGCTTAAACAGTCTCCTTTTGAGAAACTCACTTCCTTGAATCGACTTTGAGTCAATTGTCTTGCTCTTCGTTCTTGCTAAATTCATTGAAAACCTAAAATTTCTCTTTCCTGGATAGCACAAGGGATTTTCTATTTGAGAAATATGAATGAATCGACGAAAACTGAATTTTTCAGTTTTACAGCGGGAAAACCGCAAAATGTGGCGCTAACGAGTTGTGTCTTTTCGTCGTTTTTGTCGAGGTTCGCCTCTTCGACCACTCAGAATTTGTTGACGCGTATTTTGGGATTGAAATTATTGATCGGATTCGGTTAAAGCCGTAAATAATCTTGTTTTCCTCGTCAAGAATTTTCTGATGCATGAATATTTTTGGGTTCGGCTTCTTTTTGAGGCTTTTATCTAGGTTCGCCTTTTATCGAGGTTCGCCTTTTATCGAGGCTGGCCTTTTATCGAGGTTCGCCTCTTGAGAACTTCTTATAAGGAAATGCTAAATGATTCAATTCTTCTCCAATCTTTTTTTGCTTTTTAAACACTATGAATCATTTTTCCCCTTTTCAGTCACTCTTGTTTCTCTAAGTGATCCCGATGCGTGACAAAACGGAAATTGCCCTCTTTCTTTCCCTTTTCTTTCCCTATCCACGTGCTTTTCCCTTCCGAAATCAATAATATCCTTCAAGATGACGTAATGAATTTAAAAAAAGAGAGAAACCCTGTTAATTATTCATTCGTATATGTGCGTCAAATAGAAAATTTTCTTGAGAATTCCTTTTTTTTTTCTTAAAGATTCCCATGCAAAAGAGATCTAAAATATCTAATCAAAAATGTTGTTTTTCTCGAATTTCTACTCTTTAAACTAATTTCTGTCTCCCCCAAATCGACTCTAAATGACAAATCACCGTTGCCTCACGAATTTCCCATAGCCAATTGACGTCATAGCAATTTCCCGGATTTTTTTAGGGAAAATTTCAAGTAAAATTTTCAAATAAAACTGATTTTTGTCCAAGCTGGGAGGCATACTTTTTAGGGAGTTTTTTGGAATTTTGATTTCTCGACAAATTTGTCATTCAAAATTCTCCGCGTAATGACATTAGCTCGGAGCTTGACGTTCGGAAAGTTTTTCTTGAATATAATGTGATTTGCAAAAAACTGGGACACCTTTTTTGTGGATGGCAAAAGCCTTAGTCGTCATGACAACGAGAGTTAGAAGGGAAGCCCGGAAAGGGAAAAGGGGCAGTGATGGGTGGATGGAAGGAAGAGGAGAATCGACCCCCACATGATTGCAATTATTTCCTCGGATTTATAGCTAGAATTTCATCGTGACATCCAACTAGGCTTTTGGCTTCGAAACTGTAGTCATTTCTAGAATTAAACGCCTCAAATTGCTTGTAGTCAAAAATCAAAAAAAAACTTTTGTCTGATTGAAATTTTATCTTCATAGAATCATTACATGCATTCCAGATTGCAGATTTCAAAATCGCGCTCATTTTGAAATCCCATTTTAATTCCAATTTCTAGCTTGATCTCAAAATTTTGCATTTACTTTCCCGGAATCTTTCGTCAACCGAATGCCATCAACTAAAAAACGATCTCTCACTCTCAAGACTACAATTTTTTTGCATTCTGATCAGCTTTTCCAAAAATAATCCCTCTATTATCTTTAAAAAAGTAGTAAATTTTACCCTCAATCGGCTTCTTCAAAAGGTTTCCCAATTTTTCCTATTTTGTTTGCCCAAGTGAGGCAGCACTTTTGAAAAGCGATTCAACCCGAAAAGGCATTGTTTGAGCAGAAATTTTTAAACCTTTCAAGCGTTTTTTCATTCTCAAAGAATTTACCCGGTTCATTTACCCAACCTAGCTGATTCAATTATCAAAAAAACTATTTTCTTCGTTTTCTTAGTTTTCTTTATTTTTGGTGCCCTCCAGAAAGAATGTTTTGAGCAATTGCAGCTTTACAGAAACTTCCCCAGTTCATTTACCCAACTGCATTCAAGTTTAGATCATCGAAAATCATTTTTCCTGATTCAAAGATGAAAAATGATATTTTGAGCAATCTCACGAATCATTTTTTGCAAGAAAAATCCTGTAGACAAACATTTAATCGCTTTCGACTGCCATGAATCATTCTTTCCCAAAGAAAATAAAAAAAAGGCATTCAATGTCATTCATAGTTTTCATTTCAAGAAAAAGAATTTCTTTTTGAGTTCAAATATTGATTAAATTGATTAAATTGACTAAATTGATTAAATTGATTAAATTGATTTAATCAATTTAATCGGGAGTGGGACAAATGCGACCTTTTTTTGCGCACCTGGACATTTGCGCACCTTTTTTTTGCTGGAAAAGGCCTTAGGAAAGGTCGTAGAGCTTCGAAAATGTTTCCATATAAGGGAACCGTGTGCGTAGATTCCGAATTTCGACAAATCAGACCTCGCTGACACGTCAAATTTGGGCTAAAAGGCAAAAACTACGCAACTTAACGCTTTTCCGCAGTTTTTGCCTTTTAGCCCAAATTTGACGTGTCAGTGAGGCCTGATTTGTCAAAATTCTGAATCTACGCATACGATTCCCTTCTATGAAAACATTTTTGAAGCTCTACGACCTTTCCCAAGGCCTTTTCCAGCAAAAAAAGGTGCGCAAATGTCCAGGTGCGCAAAAAAAGGTCGCATTTGTCCCACTCCCGATTAAACTGATTAAATTGATTAATATTGATATTGAATCTAGAGACAGCTGCTTTAGTTACCCAACTTTAAATCTTTCATTTGGAAAGCTTATCGATTCATTTTCTGTACTCATCCTTCCCCTTTTTTTCCACCCTTTTTTGCATTCATAAGTGAATCCATTAACGTCACTCTTTTAGTGGAACTCTGAGACATTGCAAAAACCGACAAAATATTGCAACTATTAATTCAAAAACCTACTGTATATGGTGGAATTGACACTCGAGCGGTCACAGATGAAATTCGTCGATGGACTATTCAAGAGGATTCGAAAATCGGCGAAACGCCGGAGAAGACACACACTTTCCGAGCAACCGCACTGCTCAATTGATCATGAAGCGTTGGAATTACCCAGCCCTGTCTCAGAAGATTTGCCCAGTTCAAGTGGATCTTGTCCAAATACGAGTAAAACACCTAGATCCGCTTCTGCATTGGCTGCCATTGGACACCCATCCACTAGCAGTTTACAGAAAGATGAGCGAATCTCGTTGGACGAGTTGGAAGTGAAAGAATTAGAGCCACCAAAGGCCGAACCGGAACTGACCGATTCGCCGGTGAGGAAGAAATGTCCTGTAAAGATTACAGTGACAAGTCATGATGATGACGATATGGTGGCCATTATCGAAGAGGTTTTCGTTGGGGAGGATGCGTCGAGAAGCACGACACCCACTCCACAAACGGTGAATGAGAATCTGGGTGGAGAGCAGATGGAGAACGGTAAGGTATTCTCGTTTAATTTCCCAAGTCAAGGTCGTGTCTCTTTTGGCCGTAATTTGAAGTTCCAGTTCGATTACGCAAGTCAAGTTTAAAGTTCAAATGGTCAAAGTTTCGGTTGGGAGGGCTCATTTTTAGCGAAGAGGCATTCCGGCAACTTTTAATATCTCCCGAAATCAATATTTTCTCTTTCTCTTTTCTTTTTTCTATGTTCTGGCATGCAGGCTAGCAATTAACATCAAGAACTTTGCAATACCTTCGAAATTCGAGAAGTTGGTTTTTTTCCATTTCGACAACTTTTATTAACTAGCTTTAAAAACAATATTTTTTTTCTTTCTCTTTTCCTTTTTCTACGTTCTGGCATGCAGGCTAGCAATTAACATCAAGAACTTTGCAATACCTTCGAAATCCGAGAAGTTGGTTTTTGAGTTGAAGTTGGAAAAAAAACCAACTTCTCGAAATTTGAAGGTATTACAAAGTTTTCGGTGTTAATCGCTAGCCTGCATGCCAAAACATAGAAAAAGAAAAGAGAAAGAAAAAAAATATTGTTTTTAAAGCGAGTTAATAAAAGTTGCCGTTTTAGTCAAGCTTTATCTTACATTTTAGCACAAGTTTGCACCTTTGCTTATTGAATTTAAGTCTAGCTATCAAATTGCCCAATTCTTATAGGGTTTTGTTGAAGCGAGTTTGATTTAAACATTCGGAAAACCAAGTTTTTAAACTTACATCTAGCTAAAAAAACAGTGTCAATTCAATTGCCCAACTTGAGGCACAATTTAACTTCCCTTTCCCGTCAAAATATTTAGTGTTGTTGCCTTGGTGGAACACGAGTTTCCCCATCTTTCATTTCCTCATCCAATCCCAATCCCATCTTTACACTTTGCACATCCCAACAACCGAGTGGACTCTTTTCTTTTTGCCTGTCAGATTGAAAAATTGCTCGAAGCCATGTGCAATTTCTTTCTCGAATCTGAGAATTTTCCTCCTAGCATTGTTGACAAAATCTCTGATTCGAGAATTCGAGAAAGCTTTGAGTGATACACAAATATTGATTGGAAGGGGAAATCTTGGAAATCTTGGAAATCTTTTAACACCAAAAACCTTTACTGTGTTAGAGTTGCTAGTTGGAGAAGAGTCCCAGTGCTGGGGTGAGATTAATCTAACCGAATTTTCTCGGTTTCTCTTTGTTTTGTGGGTCTCCTCGAAAAAAAGCTATCTCATTGTGATCTCGAAAAGAGAAACTGGGGAAAGATTGGGCCAAGCAGACACGAAGAGGGAAAAGGGGACAGGGCTGAGAGGGGAAAAGGGAAGGTGGTCCATCCTCCCCTACACACATACGCACGCAAGTCTTAGGCCCAGAACCACCCTTTCCCCCAATTCTCTTTTTCGTTTTCCCAAATGGACTATGGGTGATGAGCTGGCTCTCGTGGCTATTCTCATCAAATCTTTGGCCGTTGATTGTTCTGATTTGTTCGATCGTTTATTACCTGCTGAGTCCTAAGCCACAGAATCGAGCCCGGCTTAGATCCCATTCTCCTAGTCCGAATCGAACTCGGGGATCAAGTGCTATTCCAGCAGATCCTTTAAATTCTACAACAACTGTTTCTCTATTGGATTCTTTACAAACCGAGACTGCGGTGGTTAGGAATTCGAAGCTGAAAGTCCCCTGGCATTCTGTGCATTTCTTCTCGTGTGAGGGACCAGATGAGGATTTGTCTGAATCTTCCGCTCCACCCGAGATCGAGAAAGTCGAGCCAGTAGCCAAGAAACCACTCACTTCTATCGTTAATCTATTCCAAAGTAAGTTGGGGAAACTGAATCAAGAGTTTTAGTTGGATAAGTTGAGTAATTTAACCAAAGAGTTTTAGTTAGTTTATCTAGAAATAGCAATTTTACTCGTATCCCTTGGGAGCTCTCAAAATGCTTTGAAATGGGGAGAACAATTGCCGCTTTTTTTTTTCTGTGTGAAGAGAAAATTGAGGCTCCCGGGAGAAGCTGGGGTACTTCATAAAGAATGCTTCAGAAAAGGAAAATCCCATCTTTAGCCTTTAGAAAACTAAGACTGATAAACAAAGCAAAATCGGTGAGCCATCTCTGAGACAAATCTGTGATAGCCAAGTTCACTCAAAAAGCGCACAAACCAATCTTTGAGATAAATCCGCAGTCCCCTGTGCTCCAGCTTACCCAATTCTTCTCGAAAATGGGCAATCTTTGAGGCCTAATCTCGCTCGTTGCTCATCCATTCCCATCCCAGCACGTCATTCTCATCCATTTTCTAGGTCATCACCTGAATCCACGAAATCTCATTTCCCGCATCCATCTCTTCTCATTCTATTCCTTTTTCCCATCCTCTTCCCTGAATAATAAAACTGGGTCTTTTGGAGGAAATGGATCAGAAAAATGAGCGACCCGAGCTTTTCCCTCTTCGCTTTTTCACTTCCACAAAATTGGATCCAGATAAAGGATAAAGTGACGTTTATAAACTGATGAGCTCCAACTTGATGAATGAATCAAAAAGTTTTTGAAATTCTTTGAAGCTGGAAAAATTTCGTCGACCCAATTGAATTCCCGCGGGTTGGACGGGATTTGAGAGAAGAAAACGGGCTGTTGTTCTGATGTAGGGAAAGTGAAAGTGAAGAAGCTAAAGTTTTATCAATAAAGCATTTCATTTACCTAATTCCAATCTTGACGTAGTCAAGAATATTATAAAAAATCGAAAAACTGAGAAATCAGGAAACCCAGTGCTAACATGTGGTAATGATTTGAGGGCTGGGGTTTTGTCTTTCAAGAGGCCATAAAAATTCTCGTTGTTTCCCCGAATCGAATGGTTTCCTCCACTTTACATTTCTGTTGTCGTTTGTCAAAAATGATTAGTAATTTTCTGGACGTTGTTCAGCACGCGCATTTTCGTAGAAAAGGTAATATTGAAGGTTTTAATCGAAATTTTAAAAGCAATCATCATTTGTGTTAGTTTAAGTAATCATTTCTAAAACTAAACTAATCAAAAAGGTTATTAAACATTTGATACAGGCCCCGCCCCTTTCCCATTGGCAATCTAACTTTGAGTTCAAATATCTCGGTACTGAGCTGTCCAATTTCAATATTCTTGATATCATTCGATGCGCCAAATCTTTATCTATCAATTGGTATAAAAACTATTGAAATTGGACAGCCCAGCACCAAGATATTTGAGCTCAAAGTTGGATTGCCAATGGCGAAGGGCCTGTATCAAATGCCCCACGATTAATCAAAAATCGTCTCGCTTGTCATTGCATGTGATGCATTTAAACCATTGAAATTTGAAATCTTTCAAATTACAGGCCGAAACTTGCTCAACAAAAAAGAGCCAGCTCCATCAACGATCAAAGAGTCGTCCGAATCGTCGCAAACGATCGATGACACTGAAGCGGAGAAAGGTAAAAATCATGGTGAACAAGAGGGTGGTGGAGGTGATGGGTGTGATAGTGGATGCCCGGACACTTGCCATCACTCACCCCATTTCCATGGGATTCACAATCCGAGAGCTTAGGCTAAGAATATCTGAAGACTTTCAAATGCTATTCAGTTTTTTGTTTTGATGACTTAGCGTCAACTTTTTAACTTTAAAATGCACTTGTGCATTGATAACTTATGCAAATTTTCATACAGTACTGAATGCTGAGACTTTAAAACTCAAAACTGACTAGGGGACGGTCCAATTTCAGCAAAAGAGTATTTCGAGAACTTTTAATAACTCGCGAAATCAATATTTCTCTTTCTCTTTCTTTTTTCTACGTTCTGGCATTCAGGCTAGCGATTAACACCAAAAACTTCACAATACGTTCAAATCTCGAGAAGTTGGTTTTTTCCAACTCCAACTCAAAAACCAACTTCTCGAAATTTGAAGGTATTGCAAAGTTTTTGGTGTTAATCGCTAGCCTGCATGCCAGAACGTAGAAAAAAAGAAAAGAGAAGGAAAAAATATTAATTTTGGAGCGAGTTATTGTAAGTCGTCGAAATGGAAAAAAACCAACTTCTCGAAATTTGAAGGTATTGCAAAGTTTTTTATGCTAATCGCTAGCCTGCATTCCAGAACATAAAAAAAAGAAAAGAAAAATCAAAAAACGTTGATTTTGAAGCGAGTTATTGAAAGTTGCCGAAATGTCCCTTTGCTGAAATTGGGCCCTCCCCTGACTAGCCATTGAAAGTCCCATTTTCTAAACTGATATCCAAATTCTGCAAAAATCAAAACTGAAACCCGTCCCTTGTTTATGGTGTCCCGTACTAACCGTCCTCTTTTCTCTTTTTATTTATTTCCGTTTTTATCCCCGATCTCCTTGTTTCTTCACCTTGCTTGATCTCATTCCCCAAAAAATGTCCCGTGTCCAGTGTCCACAGTTTGTTCATCAAAAAATAGTGAAAACAAATGAATTTCATGAAAAGTTTCAACACAAGTTTTCGCTATTTTTAGGGGAAACTACAGGAAAAAAGAGGAAAAAAGAGAAAACGTTTTCGTTGATAGAGAGTTTTTTGACTGTACTTTTCCCCTAGAGCATGCGGTGTGTCGATTTATTTTACAACACTCCATAGAATTAAAACCAAAAAAAAATTTCTTATTTAATGATTTGCAGTGACATCCAGATCTCTCTTTCCATTTTTTGCTTTTTCGATTTTCTCGACTTTTCTTTATCCAATCGATTCTCTAACTTTTTTACGCGCATTTTTTTTGCTTTTTTTTGGTTCGGGAAATCGGGAGGAGAATAAAGCTTTTTAAATGGTGGACAGTTGAAAAAAATTTTAAAGAAAACTCACAGACTTTGGAGGAACGAAACCAATTTTTTCAATGTGTTATGATTTTTTTTCGTTTACTCCGAGCGCTCCTCCCGACGAACCTGTCCACACCCATTTCACAAGTTTCAATTTCTTTTTTCAATCACTTTTTCACAAATTTTACGTATATGGATGGCATTTTATGTTATGAATTTGAAATTTGAGTTTAAAATTCAATTTCAGAGAAGTTGGTTTTTGAAGAATTTTTGAGATGACCAATAATTACCGTAGTGTTTTTGAGATAGAGTAGTTTTAAGTCAAATCATCCAATCTGGATATCAGTTCATCCAAATTACTTCGAAAATAGAAAGTTTGATCTGTTCTCTATTTTTTTTTTTTGTTCCTTCTCCTACTTCTGAATCCTTTTCTTCTCCTATTTCCTATTTTCGTTTGCCATTTTTTTTTTGCACGGAAATCTTTCCATTCTTCCATAGAAATCCCCCACATTTCAGTCGACGATTGCAGTGAGTATTTAAAGTCACAAAGCAAGTGTCTCGCCAACTCTTGAAACACTCTAATTACTGTAGTTTGCCGTGAGATCTCAAATGTTAATCACAAAATCGAGAATTGCCCAGAGCTTTTGTCTAAAACTTCACATTTCCGCAAAAAGAGCTTAATGTTTGCACTAATTCTAAAAAAAATTGTCCTGTTCAATCGCGGCTTTGCCAAAGAGAAAATGCTAAACGCTGAAAAAAAAACTTTCGCTACAATTTTCTCTTCTTCACAAATTTTCTGGTGTTAGGAAACTCTGGTGGCCAATTGCTTAAACATGAGAACACGGTCGTTCGAGCGGATGGGCTGCCGGTCGGGACGGGAAGCGGAATGAAGCTCACACAAGCGCTGCCAGGTGAGTAGGAGACCCGAGAGTGCTCTAGAAATCTAGAAAACGAATTTCGCAAATTCTGAATAGAAAAATAGGAATAGTGCATGCCATAATGGCTTACGAGCGAAAAATTTTGGCACGAGATTTCTCTTGATCCGTTTTTAACTTGGGCATGTCATCCACTCAACAAGAAATCCCACTTTTCTGCCACTCTCAAGCCATAACCTTTCAAATAAGTCATGCTAAACTACTTCTCTATCGCTTTTCAATCTAATTTCATCTTTTACAACTCAAAAACATTAGCTTTGCATGCACTTATCACTTTGTTGCGTCAACAAAAGTCACCCTTGAATTTAAATGAATGCAAATTTATGTTTAAACTAACATTTTTTTTGGGAAAAGCTCGCTTTTTCTGTGCACAAATATCATTAACAATCAGATTTTGTTGATATTTTTTGGTTTCACGGGCAACGTTCACGTGTAGATGGTCTATAGTTGTTGGCTCATGTTTCTGGTTAAGAAAAATCGACGGAGGACCCAATTTCAGCAAAGGAGCATTTCGGCAACTTTTAATCACTCGCAAAATCAATATTTTTTCTTTCCCTTTTCTTTTTTCTATGTTCTGGCATGCAGGATAGCGATTAACACCAAAAACTTTGCAATACCTTCAAATTTCGAGAAGTTGGTTTTTTTCCATATTCGGCAACTTTAAATAACTCGTTTCAAAATCTATATTTTTCTTTCCCTTTTCTTTTTTCTACGTTCTGGCATGCAGGATAGCGATTAACACCAAAAACTTTGCAATATCTTCAAATCTCGAGAAGTTGGTTTTTTCCAACTCCAACTCAAAAACCAACTTCTCGAATTTCGAAGGTATTGCAAAGTTTTTGATGTTAATCGCTATCATGCATGCCAGAACATAGAAAAAAGAAAAGGGAAAGAAAAAATATTGATTTTAAAGCGAGTTAATAAAAGTTGTCGAAATGGAAAAAAACCAACTTCTCGAATTTCGAAGGTATTGCAAAGTTTTTGATGTTAATTGCTAGCCTGCATGCCAGAACATAGAAAAAAGAAAAGAGAAAGAAAAAATATTGATTTCGCGAGATATGCTGAAGTTGCTGAAATTGTGCCTTCCCAAAATCGATTCTGATCAAAATCATATAATTCAATTAGTATCCCAGATTTTCAAAATTGAAAAACTAAGGGAAATTTTTGAAACTGACATCATTTCGGATTGAAACTAAGCCCATAACATCGGAAAAAAGAAAAGCAGACAAATTTTTCCTCTTCTCATGGGGTATAGGATGACAAGTGGAGAGAAATTTCAGGCCACCTGAAGAAAGAAAACAAAATTCTCCCCTTTTCTGGGATTGAAGAAATTTTCTCCGTTTTCTCTCTCTCACGAGAAATTCCCTCTTTGCTGGCTCATATCGACTTTTGAGTCGAATCCATAGTTTGTCGGGATTGCCCGGTCTCCTCTTTGAAATCCCTGCTCTCTCCCGTTCCTTTCCCCTTTTCTTCCCGGGTATCACCAAGGACTTTGGGCTCTTTTCCCCAAAAATTCTCCCGTTTCCCCTACCCCAATTCTTCCCGTCGTTGCCCATTTTCCTTTTTTCTTCCCATTTTTCGATTCCCTCTCTCCAGGGCAAAACGGCTGTTTATCCGACTAAAAATTGAGAAAAAGTGGCTGGTTGCAATACGGCGTTTATCCAGCAAAATTGAGCATCTCTCTTCACCGAGTGATTCAAAGTAGATCTTTGAAATTTTCTCTAGTTATTTTTCTATTCTACGGGGCATTTCTAATTTGCTACGGGTCATTTCTAAATTGCCAATGACATGAGTACAGGTAAAATCTTTTCTAAACTTTTCCAAACTTAGCTCTTACACGACTGGACAATGAAACATTATATTTGAAAAACGATCGTCACTTTCGCGCGTCTGTACCTCCCTTGTCTTTACCGTATTTCTAAATATTAACATATTCTAAACATAGCTCTTACACTACTGGACAATGAAATATCATATGTGAACGATCTCACTTTCCGGTCTGTACCTCCCTTGTCTTTACCGTATTTCTAAATATTAACATATTCTAAACATAGCTCTTACAGTACTGGACAATGAAATATCATATTTGCAAAAAAGATCGTCACTTTCGCGACGTCTGTAACTCCCTTGTCTTTGAGTTTAAACTATTAGTGTTATACATTTTCTGAAAGCTCTTTTCAAGGGCTACACAATGGTAATATTAATATTTAGAAATACGGTAAAAGACAAGGGAGTTACAGACGCGCGAAAGTGACGATCGTTTTTCAAATATGATATTTCATCGTCCAGTACTGTACCTTCTCCCCATTTGATCTCATCCGGTCGAAAAAAAGAGATTTTTGTTTTTTGTCATATTTCATTGTCCAATAGTGTATCTAGCAATCATTCGTAATGCTAATTATTTTACCATCAGAAAAATTCCGAAAGCCTTATCGCACTCTGATTTCTTTCAAAAACGAAAAATCACTGTGTTCCAAATTTCCATTTTAAACCTTAAAACCTTAACAATTCTGGCCGATTTAACTTTAGGTGAGTGAAAATTTATACTTTGAAACCTTCCCACTCTGGGATGAAGTCATTTCTTGAAAATATTGATAAATATAAACCTTTTCCATTTGAATGAATTCATTAGCCAATCACGCAATAGATCCCTGGGCTTTCCCTGGGCTATCCCTGGGCTATCCCTGAAAATCCCTCTAAAATTTTACACGAAATCCCCCCCCAAAAAAACGAATCGATTCGCTCACAAATTTCCTCTCTCAAAAATTAAATGCGCAAATTTTTTGCGAAAATTTTCTGTCGTCAACCCGAAGAAACGACAAGAGTTCAAATGTTCACGCCAATTTATTTGAAAAACAGTGACGAGGGTTTTGAGTGTGAGTAACGGACGTTTTGAGGCACCAAGTTTCATTTTAATTTCCCTCCTAAATTTGCATGAGCATGAATGAGTTGAAAATAGCTACCAAAATAGAATAATTCTTTCTGTCCCACGAAATTTCTTTTTTTTTTCAGCGCAGAAGCAAGACATTGTGAAAGTTACACAGCAACTACTTGATGCGATTTCGTGCAAAGATTGGGACAGTTACACGTGAGTTTTTGAATTTGAATTAGATATTTAAAGGAATTTGTCTACAATACAGTAGGGTGCCTTCCATAAAGTTTAAAACAAAAGATTTTTACTTTTTATGAAGCTAGGGCGGGCATAGTTATGGAAACAAATGAAAGGTAGTAAAAAACCCACTTCTTTAATTTTGTCGTTTTTAGCCTGATAAGTTACTGGCTGTATAGTGTGCGTTCCAAAAAGGATAAAACAAAGCTGGTTTCATTTTTTAGAGTTTGGAGAGGCATAAATTTGAGACCCAACTGAAACAGCAAAACCCAACTGCATCAAGATGCTTGCTCAAATATTATTACTTGGGGAAAACGCTTTTGTGAGATCCATAAAGCTTTATTATCGTAAGGATTACATTCAGTTGGCTCGAAGAAGAGTTTTTTCAGTTGGCTAGCAAAATCGAAAAACCCAACTACTTAAATCTGATTGTTTTTAGCTTTTTAAAGTGGTGACTCTATAGAATGCGTTCCAGAAACACCCAAAATATAGGATTTTTTCGATATAACAAGCTTCGATCGGTATATTTTGTGGCCCAACTGATATTGCGAAACCCAAATGATTTAATTTGTTTATATACCATGCATTATCCAGCCAGGGCTATTCTGTGAGATCCAAAAACTATATAAAAAACACAAACTTTTGGATCTTGATTTCGATTCTCTAATTTTAGGTTGGGATCGGTTTTTTAGTCAAACCAACTGTTCTGCTTTTATTCCGAGACAATCTTTATTTAGTAGAAACAACCTGATGCGTTCCATAACAATCAAAAACAACTAAAATTTGTTAATTAAACTAATTGAACTTTTAGAAAGCTGTGTGACCCGGGTATGACTTGTTTCGAGCCGGAAACTCTTGGCAATCTCATAGAGGGAATCGACTTTCACCGATTCTACTTTGATCCAAGTAAGTTTTGACATTTCTGACTGAATTGGGAGAAATTCGATTTGATTTTCGAGGGGTTGCTTTACTGGATCCACTAAAACTCGTTCATTCCCTTATGGCTCTTGAATTCAAGTGCTTTAAAATTGACTTCGTTGAAAAAGAAAGGAAGATTGGTTTGAAAATAAATCAATTTCTTTGTTTCAGGCAATTCCGGTGGTGCACGAAAAGGCGGTCTGCACACGACAATGCTCAATCCAAATGTGCACGTGATGGGCGATGAGGGAGCGTGCATTGCCTACGTTCGACTCACTCAATACATTGACAAGTGGGAGTTTAAAGCAAGAGGATTTTTAAAGAATATCTCACTGACTAAAAATTACTATTAAACTCTTTCAGGAACGGTGATGCGAAAACTCGTCAATCACAAGAATCTCGGGTGTGGCAGCGTCGAAACGGTACGAAACCACTCTAATACGAAAACAAGAACAACAAAAATGGGGAGAGCCCAATTTCAGCAAAGGGGCATTTCGGCAACTTTTAATCACTCGCAAAATCAATATTTTTTCTTTCCCTTTTCTTTTTTCTATGTTCTGGCATGCAGGATAGCGATTAACACCAAAAATTTTGCAAAATCTTCAAATCTCGAGAAGTTGGCTTTTTCCAACTCCAACTCAAAAACCAACTTCTCGAATTTCGAAGGTATTGAAAAGTTTTTGATGTTAATTGCTAGCCTGCATGCCAGAACGTAGAAAAAAGAAAAGAGATAGAAAAAAATATTGTTTTTAAAGCGAGTTAATAAAAGTTGCCGAAATGGAAAAAAACCAACTTCTCGAATTTCGAAGGTATTGCAAAGTTTTTGATGTTAATCGCTAGCCTGTATCCCAAAACATAGAAAAAAGAAGAGAAAAAGGAAAAATATTGATTTTGAAGTGAGTCATTAAAAGTTGCTGAAATTTGGCCCCCAAAATGCATTGTATGCAAATTTGAAAGACGAATTCAGGTCGCTGGTTGTGTGTCCACGTGCATCGTTCAACCGGTTCCCCAAACAATCCATCAGCATCCACCGATTATTAGACGATGATCGATTTCCTCCCGCCAATTAGAGTTCTATTTTATGTAAATATTTAAATATGCAAGCTTTTCTTGACTCCTTGAATATCAAAATCGATTTTTCATCTCTCTACAATGCTTATCACTTCCACTAATTATCGCGGGCTCCTCAAAAAAAAAACAAATTCAATCATGGTAGTCACTGAGAGTTTTTTTGTTTCCTTTTATTTTCATTTTTTTCAAACTCGAACGTATTTACCTGTGATCTGTAAGAATAAGAAAAGATTTTTATTTATTTTTTTCACAAGATTAGTCAAGATTTCCTCCACACTTTCATTATCTGGATCACAAAAAGACCAATTTTATCATAGTAGTTAAAAGAAATTTTTTCAAAATTCGTTTCTCATCCATTATCCGGCAGCTATATTGTAAATTTTTATCAAAAAATAACCAAAAAAAATTTTTGACTAAAAGCTATTTTTGAATTTTTGAATTTTTGAATTTTTTCGAACGCATAGGTTTTGATTTTTGCTTTCCAGGCATAATTTTTACAATTCTTTTAGTTTTTTTCTCTCAAAAATCCAATTCAGTTCCCCTAGGCTGGTCGTTTTTTCGTTTTTTCGTTTTTATGTTTTTTCTTTTTTTTTTTCCGTAGTCGCTCTCCAAAATTTTTAAAATTTCGCATTTTCTTGGCGTTTTTTCCCCTGAATCTTCTCAATACTGCTATTTTTTTTATAATTTTATTTCTCTAGAATCTTTCTCGCATCGCATCGCACGTGTTGTCCCTATTCGGAACCTTTTTCTTGGCAGCTTTTGTAAAATTTCAAAAAAAAATTCGATTTACTTCTCAATGCACAACTTAGTTAAAGGTGTTTTTTTCCAGGTAGATCAAAAAAAATTAAATCATTTCTCTATGTGTTCTTTTTCTTTTTCTTTTAAAGCCAATTCTCTACGTTTTTTCCGTTTTACGAACATTTTTCAATTATGGGAATAAATTTCTATTTAATGAATATATATAGATACTTTATTCAGGACCTGAGATAAAGTGCGCTAGATTTAAGATTAAAACACATGAATTCATACACATAACACGAAAAGGGCCGATAAAAAGAAACACGATATAATAAATGTAAAATGAGGGTAGCACAGATAACATCAAGGATCCACTAGAGCTTCAAGATCCACTAGAGCTTCAAGATCCACTAGAGCTTCAAGATCCACTAGAGCTTCAAGATCAAGATCAAGATCCACTAGAGCTTCAAGATCAAGATCAAGATCCACTAGAACTTCAAGATCAAGATCAAGATCCACTAGAGCTTCAAGATCCACTAGAGCTTCAAGATCAAGATCAAGACCCACTAGAGCTTCAAGATCAAGATCAAGATCCACTAGAGCTTCAAGACCCACTAGAGCTTCAAGATCAAGATCAAGATCCACTAGAGCTTCAAGATCCACTAGAGCTTCAAGATCAAGATCAAGATCCACTAGAGCTTCAAGATCAAGATCAAGATCCACTAGAGCTTCAAGATCAAGATCAAGATCCACTAGAACTTCAAGATCAAGATCAAGATCCACTAGAGCTTCAAGATCCACTAGAGCTTCAAGATCAAGATCAAGATCCACTAGAGCTTCAAGATCAAGATCAAGATCCACTAGAGCTTCAAGACCCACTAGAGCTTCAAGATCAAGATCAAGATCCACTAGAGCTTCAAGATCCACTAGAGCTTCAAGATCAAGTCAAGATCCACTAGAGCTTCAAGATCAAGATCAAGATCCACTAGAGCTTCAAGATCAAGATCAAGATCCACTAGAACTTCAAGATCAAGATCAAGATCCACTAGAGCTTCAAGACCCACTAGAGCTTCAAGATCAAGATCAAGATCCACTAGAGCTTCAAGATCAAGTCAAGATCCACTAGAGCTTCAAGACCCACTAGAGCTTCAAGATCAAGATCAAGATCCACTAGAGCTTCAAGATCCACTAGAGCTTCAAGATCAAGATCAAGATCCACTAGAGCTTCAAGATCAAGATCAAGATCCACTAGAGCTTCAAGATCAAGATCAAGATCCACTAGAACTTCAAGATCAAGATCAAGATCCACTAGAGCTTCAAGATCCACTAGAGCTTCAAGATCAAGATCAAGATCCACTAGAGCTTCAAGATCAAGATCAAGATCCACTAGAGCTTCAAGACCCACTAGAGCTTCAAGATCAAGATCAAGATCCAAGAGCTCAAGATCCACTAGAGCTTCAAGATCAAGATCAAGATCCACTAGAGCTTCAAGATCAAGATCAAGATCCACTAGAGCTTCAAGATCAAGATCAAGATCCACTAGAACTTCAAGATCATCTACAGATAATTTAAAGGTTTCGAGACTATTGGACACTCTCAAAACTCTGGGGAGTCGTTTCCAAATTCTGGCAGTATTGGCCTTATTGGCAGTTCTTATTGGAAAAGAGTTATAAACAAACTTATTGGAGGTGACTGGAATTTCTAAAACGAAAGAACCTATCCTTGAACTAACCGTGCGATTAACTTTGAATAAATCTCGAAAAAGAGGGATAGGTTGCCTGCCCTTTACAATTTTGAAACATTCTATTAAATCCGTGACCAAGCGGCGGTGTCTAAGAGATTTAAGATCAAAGATTTTGAGTCTATCTGTGTAACTAAAGTATGCAAATTTGGAAAAATCTATTTTTCATAGAGCTATCTTAGAGCTATCTTAGAATCAAGAAATTTTGCACAAAAATGAAAGAATTATAAAGGCTACTCATCAACGTTGACTCTTTTTCGATCCTGATGTCCTTTAGATTTCAGCTCAGCGATTTCCTGAAAATTTAATTTCATTTTGAAGATCTTTTGACTTAAAACAATTATTAACCAATCATTTAAACCTTTTCTTTCTCTACAATCGATTGCCGAAGATCCTCAATTTCTTGAAGGCGATGATTTCTGAAACTTTTGAGAAAGCTAAATCTATAAATATGAAACAAAAATGTTTACAGTTTTGTTCAACTCAATGATAGAATTTTGTTTCAAGAGAGTTTTCAAATCTAGGAGAATCTAGAACAAAAATTGGCTAATAAATCTTTATGAAGCACCCAACCTGACAGTTGTATAACTATTGAGGGTAGCGTTGGCTCGGTCGACGGAGTCATCCCTTTGGATCACGGTTAGTTCGAGTTCCTGGAAAGTTAAGATTCGGTTTAAAGCTTCAGCTTTGTAATGGGCTCACTAAACCGCTTTAGCTAATCTTTAGCTGAAATTTTATTGTGAGATAAAATGATGACTCTATAGAATGCGTTCCATCAACATCCAAAATATAAAGTTGACAAGAAAAATAGAAAAAACCCAATTACTTCAATCTGATTGTTTTTAGCTTTTAAAATGGTGACTCTATAGAATGCGTTCCAGAAACACCCAAAATATAGGATTTTTTCGATTTAACAAGCTTTGATCGGTATATTTTGTGGCCCAACTGATATTGCGAAACCCAAATGATTTAATTTGTTTATATAGCATGCATTATCTAGCCAGGACTATTCTGTGAGACCCAAAAACTATATAGAAAAACACAAACTTTTGATCTTGATTACGAGTCTCTAAGTTTAGATTGGGATCGGTTTTTTAGTCAAACCAACTGTTCTGCTCTTATTCCGAGACAATCTTTACTTAGTGGAAACAATCTGATGCGTTCCATAACAATCAAAAGCAACAAAATTTTGTTAATTAGACTAATTGAACTTTTAGAAAGCTGTGTGATCCGGGTCTGCCTTGTTTCGAGTCTGATCAAAGAAGGAACATTGTTCCCCCCGACTTCCTCGTCTTGAATCAGAATTTGTAAGCGTGTCTGGACTCGACAACAATGAGAATATGAATGAGATCTGAAAATGAAACCAAAAAAAAGAGCAAACCCTCTGCTTTTCATGGAGAGCTTTCTGAAGACTTTTGTGATAGTTTTTCAAATGTCTCAACTCAACCTAGAAATTTTGGTTCTTATTAAAAAATTGTTTTGTTGTTTTTGACTTGTTTCTCGTTCCTCTCGGCTTCGAATTTTGCAATATCGAGATTCGCAAAAGGCTCCAATTTCTTCTGAAGATCGTGGACTTGATTTCTGAATTTTAAAGTTCATTTCAGACAAAAAAAGAAATCCCACTTTTTTGTCTCTAAAATCGCCCGATTCTGCTCAATTTCGGCTCTCATTTTATGCAAATTTTCATTGATTTCATCTCTTTTCTTCTCGTTTTCTGATTTCGGAAGCATTGAGTGATTGGAATTTTCAGCGATTTCTTCAACAGGTAATGGAATTTCTGAAATCTAACGGTTAGTGATAACGGTAACTGATAACGAAATCGAATTTCAACCTTCTAACAGCTTTTGTTCTCTTTGCAATGCTATCAAATGATTGTTTAATTGATGAGAATTTTCTCTCAAAGGTTCGATCTCTTTTTCTCGCGTTTCTAGCTAAATTATGAATTGATATTTGTGAGAAAAATGACGAAAACACTTCTCTTGTGAGCTTAGCTTTTCGATTCTCGAGTGCTGACTGTTGTCGTTGCAGATTGACGAGTTCAGATCTAAGAATTGAACAAATACACGACACATCAAGTACACAATAAGACAAAAGGGTTTTGGTGAAAATCTGAATCATCGAAATTCTAGTGTGATATCCAGATAAAAGAAAAAATGAGATTTAAAGAAAATTCCTCTTCCCAATTTTTCGAAATAATCGCGAACTCTCGACAGTCCACTCTCTGCAGTCCACTCTCTGCAGTGATGCAGTCAAGCAATGAACGGATATTAGCTAAAAGTTTTGACAGCCTGAATTTTTGTTATTTCGATGGGTTTCATCTGTTGAGCTCTCCATGTCTGTCGTTGGAGTGGAGTGCCGAGAGTTCGCGATTATTTCGAAAAATTGGGAAGAGGAATTTTCTTTAAATTTCATTTTTTCTTTGATCTGGATATCACACTAGAATTTTGATGATTCAGATTTTAATTTTCACCAAAAAAATCTTTAAACGTAAACCTCATTTTCGAGGTCCTCAACCGTGGCCCATCAATGCCCAATGAGGCTTCAGAATTCGATCGAGATTTGTTTACCTAAAAGTTTGACTTTTTTAAAGGGTCAAGGATTTGATTTAGGCTTTGTTTTTGGTTTTTTAACCTTTAGTCTCTTAGCTAAGATTGCCTTAATTATCCCAATTGTGCAACTTCGCTCTCTCTACAAACTAACACCCGAAAAAAGCTATGTGCTTTCCAGAAAGCCTCGGAGATCAGCTAAATTTGCATAATTGCTCCATTTAAACGTCTAACGTCGTTAGAAATTGCATAAAAGAGAGGAATTGACTCACTGACGAAGTCCGACTCGCCGTTTTTCCCTTTCTTTTCTTTAAAGCCGAGTATTTTTGTTTGAGTTCAGCATTTGCCTAAAAAAAGGTCAAATTTTTAACTACCGTAATCCTTACTGTCGTCAATCCTTGCACTCTGCCACCAAGGTTCTCGATTTCTTGTCTTTCTTGTCGTAAACGATCGCGAGATTCCGCTAGACTTGCATTCAACTCTTCAAGATAAGTGACTCGATCAGCGATCAAAGTCTGAATCAAACGTTTGGACGGTTCCAATACGGTTCCAATATGGTTCCAATATGGTTCTTTTTAGATCCAATACGGTTCCAATATATTGAAACCATATTGGAACCGTATTGGTATTTTGGGGGCAATTTTTTTCCACCTTTAGCTCATCCGTTTTGACTGAGTCGACATTTGCGGCAATAATTGTTGACCTAAAGCTTAGCTGAACGTGAAGAGCTCCTTTTTTCTTTTGTAACAAACTTTGATGTGCCAGGTGGATGGTGTTTCTCTTGATCAATTCTCTTCGGACTTCTTCTTTCTTCTCTAAATCTTTCAATTTCAAATTTCTCAAATTCAACTTTTCAACAAACTTTTCAGTCTCGAGTCTATTCGTTTTTTCCGGTTCCTTTGCTGAATGTGATTTGCTGAAAAATAAGCTTTAAATCTCTCTTCCGAAATCAAAAACTTACGAGATAGGGGGTTGATTTTCGAGATTTTCGAGATTTTCGAGATTTTCGAGCTCTTTTTCCACCTCAGCAATCTCTTTTCGGAGTTTTTCGAGTTTTGAGTGCTAAACTTGGCAAAATGCAATGGCAATAGACCGGCAATAGACCATTTTACGCAGAATTTTTCGCTGATTTTGATGCTGCTATTCATTCTTACCAAAATGATTCGAAAATGCGAGAAATCTGGCAAAAGTTTGAGGCCAAATTAGAAATCAAAATCAGTTTTTATATGAGCCATAAAGGCTTTTTTCACCGTCCCCACGCGTGAGCTTGTGGTGTAGTGGATAGGAGTCTTGTTTCTCCGACAAGCGCTGGCTCTTTTCCTCGGGTTCCATCCCTTCCTTTTCTTTTCGTTTTATTTTGTTGTTCAACCGCTCGAATCTTGGAACTTTACGTCTATTTTAGCTCTATTTTAACTTTACAATAAGTATTCAAACATCTTTTAATTGATAACAAAAAGGTTAGAGGTTAAATGATCGATTTAAACCTGTGAATCCTTTCGCTTCTTCAAATTGTCGATCTCTTTCGTCGATTCGAGAGAGTTTCGACGGTAACGAGACGGCGCTAAAAGTCAGTAAATAATGGATTAGTTTTAATTCAAATTTCACTCAAAATCTGGCATTTCTCATTTGCATTTGACCCACTTTGACTCTCGAAATCTTTTCGCATTTCAGCCACTTTTGCTTGAGCTGCTTCTAGACGAAAGCGGGCTTCATGCTCTGGAAAAATGGGAAAAATGAAGCCAATTTTACTGTTTATATCCTTTTTTAAGTATATCTGGCTTTTTTTGGTGTTTTGACTCTCAAAAACCTAATAGAAATGGAGAGAAATGGAGAAAGCCAACGGCCAGAAGATCTTGGCCAGCCAACCTCCAGAAGATCTTCTTAACCTTTAGCTTACTCTAGACGAGTTAAAAAGGCTCAAAACTTGAATAAAACTTTAACAAACAAACTCTTCTCCTCTAAATCGACGCCTTTTTGGCGATGCTCGTGCAATTTTGTCGTCAAAATCGTCCTCTCATCATGCGCTTTTTGCACTTCGGATTTGAATTTTTCCTGATTTTCGCCACTAATTCTCACATCAAATTCAAGCTTTTTAATCTAAAAATTAGGGTTTTAAAAGCCTTTAGAAGACAAATTTATGGAAAAGAAGATAATCCATAAATCGCAACCTCTTTTTTCAACGTTTCCCTCTTTTTCGTGCCGCTTTTGATCGCCGTTTTGTTCTGCCTCAGGATTCGACGCTGAAACCAGTGTTTCAGTGTTTTTTTTTTTATTTTAAATTCTCATAGCTTTAGCTGGCTGATTAATTTGATTAATTTTCGTGGGAAATTGAGCAGTTTAACTTTTTTTTGGAGAAAAATTGCTGTTTTAAACTTTTTTTGTCCGCGAATTTCCCTCCACTCACCAAATCAGCGATTTCTTCATCCAATTGCATATTCAATCGATCCAAATGTTCTCCCATTTTATTCTGATATTCACTTAAACGTGTCTAAATCAAAAAACGATAAAAAGAATTGCTTTAAAGTTTCTTTTTACACACAAATTGCGACTTTTTTCTGTTATCGGGACTTTAAAAGTCAAAAATTTGTCAAGAAATCGAGATTTTTCTTTAATTTTAACTTTTAAAGACTTTTAAAGTGAAAAAGCTTTGAAATTCTTGTTTAAATTTAAAAATAAAGCTTGATTTGAGCAAAGAAATGTTAAAGAAATTCAAGAAAAAGGAAAATTTAAGGCAAATTTAAGGCAATTTCTCTTATAAATTGATTTTCGTTTTATTTATTGTATCAATGTCTTTTAAAGAGTTATAGAAAAGACAAAAATACCGTATTTTCTCTAATAGGTAAACTAATTATAAACAACGTTCATTTAGGGTAAACGGAATGGACAATGCTGTGTATTTTATTTTCCCTAATAGTCTATTGTAAAGAAAAGCTACCATTTTGCGATATTCATTCGTTTACTGCCAAATACAGCACTCAGAAATCTGGCCCAAATCACACTATTCTTAACGGGCACTAAATAAAATTCGCCAAAACCGTAGCACAATTCCTGTATTCTTGCTAGTGCACCCTAAGCTTCGCCTAAATTCCTCGAAATCTTAAACACCGCTTATCAGAACCTATCGATGTGGAGTCGGAAAATGTAGCTGAGGATGAGATCTTGCGGGTGGGTGGGGGAGGGGGGAGGTGTGAGTTCCGAGTTCCAAGTAATAGTCACCAACTCAGCTTGGCTGGGGGCAATACTATTAAGGAGAATACGGTAACCTTGGTCTATTGTACTGACTACAGGGTGCACCATAATTGTCGCAACAAGGCATCACGCAATCTTGTGGGGGATTTGAGTGTTGAGCTTGTGCAAAAGCTTGGAAATCGTAAAATAGTCGCCAAACTCGGCTCGCTGCGGTGTACTACTATTAGAGAAAATACGGTAATAGTTTTCTTGATAAAGCTATCGGCTTTCTTAAAGCATTCATTCAAAATCCCAGCGAAAAGCGCGAAATTTCGCTCACATGTGTTGGTCGAATGGCGGAAATGTCAAAGCTGCTTCTTTCTAAAATCATATCCAAACAAATATCCAACAATTTGCAAACCTTTATTACTATTTGCCATAAAAAGTACTTTGAAAAGAGAATTGCGAATCCGCTAGTTGCCGTTCGTTAAACCATTTCCCCCTTTTTCCCCGATCATTTCCAATTCCATCACCTTGGTGACATTTCTTCTCCAAAACGTGGAACTACGCTCTAAAATCTCCAAAACGCTAAAAACATTCATCTTCTTTCAATCAAATTCAACCCAATTAGGTTCCAGGAAGAAGATTGACGCAATAGAAATTCCGAAAAAGTGACACTGATCTGAATTTAGCTAGCGGAAGAATTGCGTGATCAAACTCTTTCATAAAAAAGAGTTAGAGCAAAAATTTTCGCCGATTTCCCCAAGCTGGATATCAGTTTGAATAATGAAAAGGAAAAAAAATGAGGAAAAGGGAGAAATGAAGAAATGGCGGGTGAGGCCCATAAAGTGAACGCGAGGTTTCCTGTGGGTGAGCTGAAATGGGGGATTGGGGGCTGGGGAGGCTAGAGGATGGCCCTCATTCATTCGGGATCTCATCTCGTTCTTGAAATCTTAAGAACTTTGAGTTATCTTGGCAAATTGCTGGTTACAATCGTCGTAAGATTTAAAACTGATCCAGTTTCTTCTTCTTGAATCACTTTATCATTGATTTCTCTTATAAATCTCAAATCGAATCCGAGCTTTTCAGAAGATCAACTTCTTGGGCCACTTTTCCCCTCACAAAATGCATCCAGTCAGCCTCGTTGTCGTCATTTTGAGCTGTCTTCTCTCGATTGAGGCTTTCGCTTTCAATGAGGATCGACCACAAGGTGAATCTTTGATACTCAATTTTGAGTCTATTTTTTTCAAATTTATTTAGCTTGGTATTGAATAAGATCTTAAACGTTCAAATACATAAAATTTCCGTTTTTGGGGCATTTAATACGCGTCATTCTCCGCTTCTTCCTTGCCCTTGGCAATCCAGCTTTGAGCTCAAATTTCTTGGTGTTGTGCTAACCAATTTCAATATTTTTGGAATGATTGGATGCGCTAAATCTTTATCTATCGATTGGTATAAAAACTATTTAAATTGGACAGCCCAACACCGAGATATTTGAGCTCAAAGTTAGATTGCCAATGGGAAAAGGGGCGGGGCGTGTATAAAAGGTCTCACAATCTTTCCGGGAAACGGTAGCTCGCATAATTGGCTAAAAGTGTGTGCCAGAATGTGTGCGTTTGTGGCAACAGAAAGCACTGGACCATTTTCGGAAGGCAAACTAACTTTGAGCTCAAATTTCTTGATATTGGGCTGTTCAATTTAGTCAGTTTTTGTACCAATCAACAGAGAACCATTTGTATCAATCAACAGAGAACTTCAATATTCTTAATATCATTAGCGCATCTAATGATATTAAGAATATTGAAATTGGGTAGCACAACATCAAGATATTTGAGTTCAAAGTTGGATTGCTAATGAGAAAAGAGGCGCGGATCAAATGTCTGATAACCAAAATTTTCCAGCTTTTGCCTTCAATGGTGCCCGAGGATCGGATGTGGCTGGGAGAATGTTCGCCTTTGCCGACTCAAAAAGCAAGAGAGCTGATCCACGTAAGGGAATTCGATAGATTTCGGGAATTTGAAAGACTTTCCATCCAAAGCACTTCAATCTCGAGTCCTTTCCAGAACGATTCGCTTTTGCCAATGGAGAGCCAATGAATGAGGCGGCTAAATTCGCGTTTGCCTTCGCCAAGAGAGGTGGGTTGCTTTTGAAATTTATTCCCACAAAACTCCATGCAACTTTCTCAAGATCTAGAAGATTTGCATAAGAAAATGCTCGGATTTATATTCTCTTAGTCACATCGTATGCTTTAAAAACTCTCTTTAGCAGGAGTTATTTTAAATTTCTGGTATTTCTTAGTTTAAGCAAAGCTATTTTAAGCTTATAATTTTCAGATCCCAACTCAGAGAGTCTTCAGCGATTTGCGCGTGCTCAGAAATTCGCATTCGAGGGAAATGAGGGAAAACAACGATTTGCTTGAAAAAAAGAATAGAAAAAGTTCAATAAATGTTTACAGAAAAGTTGAAAATAGCACAGATAAGAGAAAAGCTTTAGTTTTATAAGTTTATAGATCGAAAATCGGACAATCAATGATCGATGTGAGAGTGGCTGATCTGAAACTTTTGAAAAGTTTCGATTTAGCCATGATTCTACGGGATTTAAAGCCAAATTTAGGCTTGATTTTGAAATTTCAGCCTGCCTAGCTGAATGGCTTAAAGAAGCTTTTCAAACTCACATTTGACTCGTCTTTTTTCGAGCACGATGTGTCGTATCGACCGGCCGTCACTTTACTGATCGTGGATTTCATTTGACGACGAACCTGAGACAAATTCAATCCGAATGATTCAAAAAATCATTCGAATCTTCTTGCTAGCTCTAATTTGCTGGCTCACCTCTTCGTTATTGATAATCAACACAATTGAATTGATTCCACAATCGATATTGTAAACAATCGTTGTGAAAGCAAAGGGTTCAAGAGTGGTGAAGCCAAGTCTAGGCATAATATGGAAAGAAGCCCATGTGAAGGAATAAAAGGAGAAAACGAGGCAACATTGGATACAGCACCTGAAAGGACAACATTCGGATGGATTAAAGGTTAGCAAAACTTTGATACACGCCCCGTCCCTTTTCCCATTAGTAATCCAACTTTGAGCTCAAATTTCTTGGTGTTGGGCTAAGCAATTTCAATATTATTGGTATCATTAGATGCGCTAAATCTTTATCTATCGATTGGTATAAAAACTATTTAAATTGGACAGCCCAACCCCGAGATATTTGAGCTCAAAGTTGGATTGCCAATGGCAAAGGGGCGGGGCGTGTTTCAAATGTCCCACAATGCAATCAACTAGATTAGGCTGTTTCCCGGGTATTGAAAGTCGAGATCATCCTTCCGGAAGGTTATCGGACCGCTTCATCCCTTTTCCCCGTTAGCAATCTAATTTTGAGCTCAAATTGCTTGGTGTTGGGCTAACCAATTTCAATACTTTTGAAATCATTGGATGCGCCAAGTCTTTCTCTATCGATTGATACAAAAACTGTCTAAATTGAAGAGTCCAACACCAAGAAATTTGAGTTCAAAGTTGGATTCCTAGTGGGAAAAGGGGCGGGGCTTTGGGACCTTTTATACGCGCTGATAACAAGGCTAAAGAGCTGAGTTCAGTTGATTTTTAGAAAATAGTTTCTCTAAACTTACATAATCTCTCTGCGATGACTTCGATCTTTTAGCTCGGCTTTTTGCTTCATTCGATAGATGTAGAGGAAAACCTGAAACTTATAGAAATTTGGATAGTTAGACAGAAAGTTAGGTTCAGAAATTTTAAGAAAAAGAAGATAAAACGAAGATTTTTGTAGCCAACGCTAGATTCAATTCATTCGCTCTTTGAGGGTACTTTAAGTGCGCCAACAAGCGCCAACAAGCGCCAACAGTTCAAAGGCTCAAAGTCTACAAATCGTCTTGTTTCTTTGAATCGAACTCACCCAAATATATGATGAAATGCAAATGATGGAAACGGCAAATTCCATTGGCAAATCGATGATCAATTGCGAGAAATTGTAGGAGAGATTTTTTCCATGATTCGGCATATACATATAGCCATAAGTGATTGGTTCAAAGTAGATTCTGAACGGGAAAACAAAATTGCCATTTAGAAAACCCCCAAACCGACAACAAGGTGAATAGTGCTGAGTGTACAAAGATGTTCCAACTCCAAGACAAGTGATTGTTATCAGCATTAGAAAGATGTTTTTCAATGTGAAATAGGCATTAATCTCTTTCCAACAAATAGCGGAAACTCTAAAACGATTATTTAATCATTTAATCATTTAGATTCTTTCATTCAATTCTTATCGCTTTCCCTACCTGTTTACCGCCATAATAATATGTACAAATGTTGCATTGTACCACAAATGAAGAAACCAAACCGCCAAAAAGGCCATTGTTGTGGAGTCTTTTGGAATGATTGGCTTCTAGAGATGAGTAGCGAAATTTCTACCATTAAAATACCTGTAAAATGACAAGTGGAAGCACGAAAAAGATATGCGTGAGATTCTGAGCGGTTCCACAGCAAATGTTGTACATTAAAATGGCGTAAAGTGGATTCTTTGTGGATTTGTATAATCTCCCTCTAACGAAGAAATAGATGACGGTGATGTTGATGGAAAGCATTGAGAAAATCACAAAAGAGATTAACGCTGAGAGGCCGTAATGCAAGACACCAGTGGCCATTGTTTTGACAATGTTTTTGACTCTAAAACGAGCAAATGAGATTTTAAGAAATTGTGCAAAGAATTGCGGTAAAGTGGGTTAAAAATAGGATGTTCACTGATTTCCGAAAAGGCTTTTGGAGCGTCACACGTCAATTTAAAACGTTCAAAAATCTAATAAACGTTGAGATTTTCTAAACAAAGACAAATTTAAAGGATGCGGATTGTTTTTGAGATCTTAGATTACGAGATTCAATTCGGAAATGATTCAGTTTCGAAAGTTTTCATTGAAAAAAATCTAAACTCAATTTTCTGTTGGCTTTTTGGTGAATTGAAAATTGATGAATTCACTGAATTTTTCTCTTTCATTCAAAAAAGATTATAAAATTATAATAAAGTATAATATAAATATCCTAGTTTTAATGAGAAATAATAAATAATAAATAAATAATAACAATAAAATGGAACTACAAAGTGACCCACAACTATAGCGCCGAACTAGATTGGTCTAGAGGGCCTAGATTGGCCAAAATTAGGTCAAACGTTCTGTTTTTTCTGGAAGTAAATCTTAAGTATGTCTCCTAAAGCTTTGCCCATTATCTAAGCGATTCGAGCTTTCAACGTTTTTATTTGAGCTATCAAAGTTGAGAGCTGATAGTCGCCTGACATGCTACTCATTTACGGGATTTTTGAGAGTGATCTTGTCAAAAGCTCTTTGAGATTGAATTTATTTATGTTAAGGAGCAAAATCTCATGCTCTACGCAGTTTGTGGAAAAAATTCTTTCAGAAATGTCACCAAAACTCACTTAATGTGATCTATTTTCGCTAGCGTGTCGGGCGACTATCAGCTCTCAACTTTGATAGCTCAAATAAAAAAGTTGAAGGCTCGAATCGATTAGATAATGGGCAAAGCTTTAGGAGACATACTTAAGATTTACCTCTAGAAAAAGCAGAACGATTGACCTAATTTTGGCTAATCTAGACCCTCTGAAGTGCGACGCAATAATTGTAGTGCACAAGTGCACAAAAAGAGCTCAAAGTTGACAATCTCTTTAACTAAAAACTTAAAAGAGTCAACTTTTTATAGGTTTTATATTTTTCAAGGTTTTACAACTCTTAAATAGGCGAAAAAGGGGCTAATCGCTTAATTAGATTGCTAGGTAGGATTGTTGTAACTCGATTGTTTTAACTTTTTTTCTTTTCATCCCTTCCTTTTATTGTTTTACCATTGAATGATCTTCTCAAAATCCTCGAGAAAAAGTAATTACTGGGATAATCTTTTGTTTTCTTCAAATTTCCTTGTCCAATGTTGAAAATGGAATTTTATGTCTGGTATAGACTATAAATCTACATGATTTTTGAAAGAAATTTCTCAAAAGTAATAGGAACCGTAATAGGAAGCGTATTGGAACCGTATGGGATTATAATAGGAACCCTATTGTATCAAAATAGGGACCGTATCGTATCAAAGTAGGAACCGTATTGGAACCGTATTGGAACCGTATTGGATCATAATAGGAACCGTATTGGAACCGTATTGGACCGATTGAGTTCGTAGAAAACGTAGAATGAGTTTCTTTTGATTTGCAAAGCGAGAAAATTGAAAATATTTCTTCAATCCTTTTGCTAAATCGATAAATCAAAAAACGAGGGAATAGTTCGAAATTTTCGACTAAAAAGTGCTGCTCAGTTCCTTGATTTGATCGATTTAGAAGTGATGAACTAAACTTTAATCCCTTTCCCGCAACAATTTTTCATTCAGCTCATCCATCTTTATTTACAACAATGAGTAAACCAAATGATTTCTATTCATGAATAGCTTTTTCAGCCATAAGATCAGCTGTGTCTTCAGCTTTCCAATAGTCGACAATGTGTTGCATTGTTTGATTAAAGATAAAGATCTCTGTCTCGGTTGCAGTCGGGGGAAAAGTTGCTGAAAAGTTTATTGCATTGTTTATAGCACTTGAGTGTACTATTGGCTTTGAATTATCGTTTTTAAAACATGTCAAAGCCTTTAACAAACTACTGTCCTCTTTTGTCCAATCTCAAGCTCAAACTGGCTTAGGAAGATGTCAAAATATCAAGATTTTAATCAAATAAAAGCCAAGATTACGTTAGCTTTTAGAAAAAGATCAATAAATTAAAGAAATTACCATATAATCTTTGCCATGTCAATATCCGATAAGCTCTCAACAAATCCGTTTCAGCGAGGGAGTTCGGCGAGAATTGCTGTCGCACTAACTAAACTGAATTGTTTAGATATAAGAAAAGTTCTTTGATTTACCGTTAACGCTTTGTTCGTTTGTGTGAGCGCGTCTTCTGTATAGTTTAGCTAAAATTGATCAATTGATCAAACAATTCTCTCCAAACCAAATCAACTTTACCAATCTCATATAATCAATCATGAACCACGTGAAAGCGTACATTGCATCGCTGCCGTGTTTCTTCGCATAGTCTCGAGTGTAGTTGGCTTGGAGCTAAAGAAACTAATCGATTACTAAGGGGCTGTTTTTATAAAACAAGTCAAGTAGTCCGTTAAATCATTTGAACTGACAACACTGGTCCGACAGTCAGAAATAGATCCAAAAAACCATTTCTGACTCCTTTGTATCACTTTGTACCGATTCCAGACTATTTTCTAAAAATTGCTCTTCAGAAAAGACTACCGTAACCTCTTTTCAGTGCAAGCAACTGGATTAGGCTGTTTCCCGGGTATTTAAACCGCTGAAAGTCGAGATCATTCTTCCGGAAGGTTATCGGACCGCTCCACCCGTTTCCCATTGGCAATCTAACTTTGAACTCAAATTTCTCGGTATTGGGCTGTTCAATTTAGACAGTTTTTGTATCAATCGATAGAGAAAGACTTGGCGCATCCAATGATTTCAAAAAGATATTGAAATTGGACAGCTCAACACCGAGATATTTGAGCTCAAAATTAAATTGCTAATGGCAAAGGGGCGGGGTTTGTAACCTAACTTTCAGCTCAAATATATTGGTGCTGGGCTGTCCAATTTACATAATCTTGATATTATTAGATGCGCCAAGTCTTTATCTATCGATTGGTATAAAAACTATTTAAATTGAACAGACCAACATCAAGATATTTAAGCTAAAATTTAGATTGCTATGGGAAAAGGGGCGGGCGCGTATAAAAGGCCCCACAATCCTTCCGGGATACGGTAGCTCGCATAATTGGCTAAAAGTGTGTGCCAGAATGTGTGCGTTTGTGGCAACAGAAAGCACTGGACCATTTTCGGAACACATATTAGGATTAGGTCCAACAAAAAGCTATTCAATGAATGAAAAGCCAACTCACCTCCTCCAACACCTCGACATCGAGTGGTCCATTGTCTCTCAACGCCGGATAAACGTGTCCCATTGTGTACTCATTCGCGATGCACATCGCTTCCACATAAATCACTGCATCGTAAGTTTCATCGGATAGAAATCCCTGAAAATCTCGATTTCAAAAGAAATTCCTCTATTTCGACCTCTTCAGACGAGCTGGCGAGTTTCCGTTGCCCTTTTGCCCACCTCTTCGCGAATCGGATCTTATTCGTGCAATAGTGAAATTTGTTTACACTGCTGACAAGCTAAAGCCAGAGTTTTATATTTAAGAAATTCTTGCAGCTCTTTCAAACAAAATCTTTCTGAATTTACTGGTTTCCTCACGATCCTCACCGATTCAATATCCAATTTAGACTCTCCATAATGTGCAAATAATTCGACCATTCTTTTCAGATTCAATTTCGGATGTAAAGAACTCGTGAATATTAGCTGATTCGTTAAAATGAGAAAAGTCAACGAAATTCTAAAACCCTTTCCGGGCATACATCAACGATTTGGGGGATTTAGCAATTGAAAAAGAATTGAAATTTTTAAAATTTCATTTGAACAACAGAAAATGTTTAGATGCAAAATAGAATGGAATCGCGAACTTGTTGGGGATCATTATTTTGAGATTTACCTCCGATTTGTCGAGAACAGATCAAAAGATCGACCGAATGAGCCGATCAGACAATTAAATTCGAGTTTATGAGTTGAAATTCGAATTTGCGAATGGATACAAAATATTTTGGTGTCAAAAGCGGAATGAAAGTTTATAGAGGTCATTGTAAAGGTCAAAAGTACTTTTTTTACAAAAAGCGAATGAATAGCTGAAAATCTCTAAAGAAAACCAGGAAAAGGTTGATAAGATTTGCGGGATTGATAAGGTCAAAGGTACTGATTAGGTGAAATAGATCAGTCTACGAAGGTTGACCATTTGGTTGTCCGTCCGTCCGGTAAATCACCAATAGGAATCCTTTCTTTTGTCCCATCGAAACCAATTGGTCGAAGGAGAACCCTTTGCTCTTTTTCTTCGCTTGGTCTAAAGGACAAGCTATCGATGAAGGAGTCATTCTAAAACAGAAACATTTTTTGATAAACCTTGCCGAATTTACCTTTGAAAATGTTCTCAGTAGATTCAATGCCTCTGCTGCGGTCAGCCTCTTAGAACGATCAAATTGTGTACAGCTAAAGACTGTTTTTTGCTTTTAAAACTTTTTCTACCTATCGATGATTTGACTTAGTTCTTCTTGGCACTTTGGTCTCTCCAACTTAGTGAATTTTCCGCAAACGACGCTGAATATGAATTCGTCACGATCAAAATTTCCCCTATGTCCGAACTCGGAAAATGCGAGCCTGAAAGCTTATAATATTTTGCTTATGATATTTAAAAAGAAAAACCTTCTCTCGACAATCTCCCACAAGACAAGTCCCAAACTGTAGACGTCATTTCGATGCGAACCCTGAAAACTAGCAAATCCCGTCAAACCAATAGACTCACTTGAAGAGTGTGTGTCTTCTCGTGTTGTGGCGGACTCATATAGCGCATAGTTCCAAATATCGTCCCGCTACACGTGTGTTCAATACGCTTTGCAAATCCAAAATCTCCAATTTTCAATGAAAAATTGTCAGCAAGAAAAAGGCTAAAATATTCGAAAGTCCATTTTTAAAATTTATTGAACCACAAAAAAACTATACTTTTCTGGTTTGATATCTCGATGAACGATTTGGTGTTCTCTGAAAATGTAATCAAGACCATCAAACAGTTGAACACCCCAAATGATCACTGTTTTCATTGTGTAAATCATACGTGGATTAGACAAAGCTAAAAGCTTCTGATTTCCTTTTTGAATAATATCACCTACTCTCTCTCAGCGTGCCGCGTTGACAAAATTCCATAATGATTCCAGATGCATTGTTTTCTTCATTAAATTCCGTTGCTAAGAACCGAACAATGTTTTGGTGTTTTAATTTTTGTAATATTTGGCACTCTTTCTCTAATTGTACTTTCATTGGTGATGCTTGGTAAAGAAATTGTTTGATCACGGCTGGACTAAATTTTGATTAAATGTAAGAAGAATAAAAAAAGCAAACTCACGGTTTGTGACCAATCAATTCATAAACAGTGCCATACGGGCCGTGTCCGATCAAACGTTTTTTCAAATCATTTGCAGAATTTGTTTCCAAAGTGGCCGTTGATGGCAAAAGTTGCATATCCATATCTCGAATTTCGGTCTTCTTTCCACCAAACCT